GAGGTCCTGTCCAACCCCAGCAATTCTGTGATTCTGTGAGTTAAACCAAGTATTTCAAGGACTCTTTAATTCTAGAGATAAATTTTATTAGTAAAAAATTAATTCCTTCCATTGGATTTAAAATACAATCAAGCATCTGCCTTATAAAAGAGATTCCCCCAAGCCACAGAATAAATGAACCTGAAGATACTGGTCAAAGTTTTAACTTGAAAATAGTTCCTAATAGTTATATGTGGGATCTCAGTCTCTCAGAACTGGGGTGCAGGGTGAACAAGACCCCCCCTGGGGGGCTCGGGAGTCCTGGAATGCTGCCAGAAATGTCTGGTGGCTGGACTTTGATCCCACATGGGAGATGACATCAGTATGAGGACGGGAGGATTTCACTGGGGTGAATGGTGAAGGGACAAGTTAATTGGAGTGTGAGATACAGGGTTTAAGATCCCTGTACAGGGGGGTCTAGAGAGGCAAGATGGAGGGATTGGGGCGTGCCCTTCTCCTTCTTCTTCTTCCTCTAGGCCTCCATCTTCTGTGGTGATGTTGGCACTCCGGGATTGGACCTTACTAGGGGAACACTGGTTAATAAGGGTAGAGGGTATTGGAGAAAAATGATAAATATTGTATACGTAACTCCGGGTATAAAGATAGGTGACCGCCCCAGGGGCTTTCAGTGTGTGCCCATGGCTGACTGCTGAGCAGAACTCTGTCAGGCCAAGAGAAAATCTTTTAGATAAGCAATTAATAAACACCGAGACCGAGAACAAATCTGAAGCTTCCTCTCGTCCTTTCGAACCCGGGGGCCCAAGGCCATCTTTGGGCTTTTCCCCAGACCATCTGAACAGCCGAGAAATCCCACAATTGGCGTCCCTGGGTGGGCTATCTCCCACCAAACCTTTCGGGGGGGGGAAAGCCCTGAAGAGCTGAAGAGCCAAGAGAACAGCACTGATAACTCCAGAGGAGGGAAGCCTGAAGAAAGAAAGAAGAAAAAGAAAAAACCGGCCGGGAGAAGCTGCAAAAATCAGCAGTCACTGAGAAATCCCATCTCTCAGCTTCTGCTGAAGACAGCTCGTAGCAGAGCGGCCTGGACTGGGACCAGAAAGGCGCCTCTGATCCATCCCTCGTAATCTGCTGGACGGAGAACAAGGGCCTCCAGACCACGCTGACGACAGATTCGGTAAGAAGGCCAAAATAAAATCATGGGGGCAACACTCTCCCAAGAACAACGGGAAATCTTATCCACCTTACAAAGTGTAGCAGAATTATATACAGAAGGGATCCCAAAGAAAGAATTAAAACAGCTGTTATTATGGGCAAGGCTCAATTATCCACTTGCTGAGACATATCTGTTGTTCGAAGTCGGGTTTTGGCAAGAAATTAATAGGCATTTATATATTTTAGCAACAAAAAAAAGATGAGACAGCGTTAAAGCTACTCTCGCCGGCAAGAATCATGTTACAAGGTATTTCAGTGCAGTCTAAAAGACTGGAAAAGCAGCGAGAAGCTGCGGTACCCTCAGAGAAGGGGGCGGAGCGGCAGAGCTCCGGAAAAAAAATTGCTCTGGCTTTGAAAGGCCAGGGGGAAAGGGCTCTCGAAAAAAGAGAGCGGGAAAAAATATTAAAACCCCCGATCAAAAAATGCAACAAACCCCAAGGGCGTCCTGAAACTCCAGAGAGTGTGGAGGAGTCAGGAGCAGAAGGGGGGGAGCAGGAAGATAAGGGATCGGGGGGGGGGCCTGTTCGCGGCGAAAGCGGCGACACGGCGGCGGCGGCAAACGCGAGCAGCGCGGGTGAGGATGAGGAGACGCGCGCGGAGGGCGAAACTCGCAAAAACCGGGGTGTAGACTCACACGCGAACGCGGAAGGTGGGCTGAGGGAAAATTTGCAGCCTCAGAGGGCCGCCGCGGCGGGACGCAGGACGCGCGCGGTTGTGACGTCAGAGCCGGTGCGACGGTCAGCTCGAATCGCGGGTAGAGCCGGGGTGCCGGCGGGAGAGGCGAACACAACGTCAGAGGAGGAGGGGTCGGATTCCGGGACAGACCGAGGGGCGGGAACCTCGGAGGTGAAACAGGGGGGAGACGATGATGACGTCACCTTGGGGGACACCGGAAGTAGCTCAGAGAGTACGCACGCGCAGAGAGTAAGACGTGGGCGGGCCCGAGCCCGGTCCCCTGTGACGTCACGGGTGAGGAGGGGCCGTGCTAGGGATTCTACGTCCCAGGGCTCCACTCCGTCTCCAGATCTGGCGCCTTTGGTCCCGAGCCTCGGAGTCTCAGTTCCTTCCCTTCATGGGAGACGCCGAGCCGGAAGAGGAAGTGGGGCAGTCGAGATTGCACCGTCATCCGAGCCAGGGAGGCCGGTGACAGCGCCACCTAGTGGCAGGAGGGCAGAAGTGCACGACATGCCGGGTCGGCTCGGCGGAGCCACAGCGCCATCTCGTGGCGAGACTGCAACAATGCAGCAATTTTTTCCAACAATATATAAAAAGAAAAGCACCTCGAAGAAGACAATGTTAACACAACAAAGGGATTATCCATATGATCCACCGATCGTGAGACATTTTCTAAACAACACGCAGGCAAAGCTAAAGGGAGATCCTTTGGTTTTGGTCAGAAACCCAGAAACAGGTCAAATAGAGGGTCCTTTCAAACTAATCTCTTGGGGAAAGGGTTTCGCTTGTATCTCCACAGATTGAGGTCTGAAGTGGGTGTCGGTGCGGCATGTGAAGCCATTCCGAACACGAGAGCACGAGAACGCTGATCCAAGAAACAAAGAGACGAGTACTCAGACAGAAGTCGAGACTCAGACTGCGAAAAACGACCCAGAAGAGAAATAAAAAAGAAACTAAGGACCTTGGGGGGTTTTCACACAAAAGCAAAGTAATGGGTTTCATGATGCTTATGTGCATCGTTCTTTCATTCATTGCAGTAAGCAGTGGGGGAGATTTACCTGTTAGTCAACCAAAGCAAAATGTATGGGAGGCTTTAGCTCGGGCAGCGAATTTAGATAGTATCTGCCTGACACATTCAAGACCAGGTAAACCGTTTTCAGCATGCATGGTTGGATTGCCAGTGGACCAATGGCCAGTTCCAGGGCACCCTGCAATTAACATTTCGCAGGTCATTAAAAATCCTATAAAAGAGTGGTGTGCTTGGACACACCTGCTTCCTGTGGCTTCTACAGAACCTCAGGAATTGGAGATTTTTGGGTCCATGACAATGAGACTCTGCATGCAGTTTGAAGCTCCAAAAGACACAAAGGCGAAAACTATTGATTTAACTCCCACTCATGAATTTTATAAGAATGCCTCAGCTTGGTGTAAATATACAAAGAGAACTACCAAAGGATCGATCCAAGTCCCGGTGCAATTGCCGCGGGGTCTGTTCTTAATTTGCGGGGACAGAATTTGGCACGGCATTCCTGCTAATGCCACGGGAGGTCTATGCAGCATTGGGGAAATTTCAATGCTATCGCCTGATTTGAACATGTTAAGAGAGGAAAGACACAGAGAAAAAAGATCAATACAGCAATATGCAGCAGATTGCAATGATGAAATGTTTTCTTGGGACAAGAAAACGAGTATTGCTACAGCAATCTTCTCACCTCAGACAGCATCGGGGGTGGCCTTAACTCAGATCGACCGCATGGGTTGTTGGTTGAGCAAACATGCGCGGTCTGTGTCTGTCACATTGGATGACATGTTAAAAGACGTCAGTAGTGTGAGACAGGCGACTCTTCAAAATAGAGCAGCAATCGATTATCTATTGCTCGCTCATGGACATGGGTGTGAAGAGTTCGAAGGGATGTGCTGCATGAATCTCTCAGACCATTCAAAGTCAATTCATGAAAATATCAAAAATATAAAGGACAGCATAAATAAGCTTGGTGAGATCACAGGATCATGGATCGATCAATTGGCAGAATTCTTTGACATCTCTCCCATTTGGAGAGGAATCTTAAAAATAGGGTTTTATGTTTTAATAGTTCTCCTAGTCCTCATACTTGTTGTCCCATGCATATTTGCATGTTTAAAACATGCAATGAATCGGATGGCAAAAAAAGGTCTTTTGGTGCAAACAGAAGGGGGAGATGTGGGATCTCAGTCTCTCAGAACTGGGGTGCAGGGTGAACAAGACCCCCCCTGGGGGGCTCGGGAGTCCTGGAATGCTGCCAGAAATGTCTGGTGGCTGGACTTTGATCCCACATGGGAGATGACATCAGTATGAGGACGGGAGGATTTCACTGGGGTGAATGGTGAAGGGACAAGTTAATTGGAGTGTGAGATACAGGGTTTAAGATCCCTGTACAGGGGGGTCTAGAGAGGCAAGATGGAGGGATTGGGGCGTGCCCTTCTCCTTCTTCTTCTTCCTCTAGGCCTCCATCTTCTGTGGTGATGTTGGCACTCCGGGATTGGACCTTACTAGGGGAACACTGGTTAATAAGGGTAGAGGGTATTGGAGAAAAATGATAAATATTGTATACGTAACTCCGGGTATAAAGATAGGTGACCGCCCCAGGGGCTTTCAGTGTGTGCCCATGGCTGGCTGCTGAGCAGAACTCTGTCAGGCCAAGAGAAAATCTTTTAGATAAGCAATTAATAAACACTGAGACCGAGAACAAATCTGAAGCTTCCTCTCGTCCTTTCGAACCCGGGGGCCCAAGGCCATCTTTGGGCTTTTCCCCAGACCATCTGAACAGCCGAGAAATCCCACAGTTATATACATCAATAATGTACATAACATTAACATGGCTGTCACAACCAATGGCTGCCTAAGAGTGCTCTGACGAAGGAACCTTGTGACAGACACAAATAAAGTTCAGGAGAGGGAGTATTGGTATCTTGGAAACTCAGTGCAAATGACACAATGAACACACAGTTATAAACAGTTGCTGCAACCAGGGAGGATCAAAAAATCAAAGAAGAGAATAGAATAAAATCTTAAATATTTCACTTCAAAGAGGTGTTATAAAAATTTACATGTAGATGTATTTACCTACTGGACATACCTTGGCTGACCTAGTGATGGCCCCAATCTCTGAATAAAGATCAGTGCTGTCTGGGAACTTTTCTACCACCATAGTGCAGACGTGGTGCAGGAGGGACTGTTTGTGTACTGTGTCCTTGACTTCTGGAACCTTCTCGAGGTAGCTCAACTCAAAAGCTTTGGCCTGTAATGAAAAGAAAAGGACATTAAAAATAAAGACATTTAAAAAAAAGACATTAAAAATAAAAATGCTTACTCCTTCCCATGCAGATTGGTAGACAAAAATGATGAGCAATAAGGGGTAGAGGGGAAAGAAGAAGAATCCTACAGGAGAGGAAATGCATTGCTTTTATTAATTTTTAACTTGCTGAAGACTAGGCCTAAAATCAGTCCATCTGCAGTGAAATGACCCATGACACAGTTCTCACACTTTGAATACAAAGCATCAATACTACACTTAAGGGAGTTACACTAGAACAGTGCTTAGCTCCACTTTCCTTCAGATTATGCTGAAAGAGGTAAGACACAATACAAAACACTCTAAGACAGAAAAAAAAAAGCACGTTATATTCCTTAAATTACTTTTCTGGTACAAAATAAATAGCGGGTTGCAATTTTCACAATGGTTTTGACTTTTGTTTTTTTGAAGGAAAAAAGCTAGAGAGGAAATCCTGGGACATCAGGCTTACATTGGTTCCATTCAGAAAGTTCCCAATGGCTAGCAGAGTAGAAAGGATAAATCCCAAAGTTTTATTGTGCTCCAGTTGGTCCATTCCCTCCTTCAGGTCTAGCAGCGGTTCTGCAACTTCCTACCATAGGAACAGAAACAAGAAAGTGAAGGTTAGTTTTTAATTCTATGGTTTAGATTAATTACTGCAAAAAGTTCCCGAATTGACGTCTCGCAGAGTGTAAACTGGCCATGTGTGCTGGCTTTCTTCCATGTTCCAGCTAATAAATCACATACAAGGACAGCAAAAAAAGTACATAAAATATTTTCCTACTGTTGTTCCTTTATGTATGCAACTGCCTTACTTGTCCTGGGGACTATCCTGTGATTCCATACAGGAGAATGCTGCTGCATTTCAGTTAAATCCATGAACATGGCCAAGCCCCAACTTATAAAAAAGGCATCTTAAATGTATTTTTTCTAATCTTTGAACAACAAATTTAAAAAGTTATAAACCTTACTGATTTAAAATTTGTAGCTTGACTCTACAGCTTTCTTCAAATGACAGCTATTTCTGTGTTTTAGATATAGTTTTGTGCTTATGAGAATTTAAAACTGAAAAAAAAATCTGCTGTAACCATAGAGCTTTAGAAATAGTTTCATTTCAATATTTTAATTTAATGCATCTTTCATCTTCACATGTTATCTGAGTATCGATGTGCATACTGGTGAGGCTTGAAATCATAAATTCTGTTCCATTACCTCAGGAAGTGAACTGCACCAGAGAGTTCAAAGGAAGAGAGTGAGGGTAATTGAGTTGACAGAACTTATTTCTATGTCTCTGTGTGAGGCCCAGGGTTATTTACTTTGTATGCACACTAACAGTTCACATTGTTCCTATCTTCAAATGCCATTCTAACATCCGTGAGCAGCATTCATTTCACAGAATCGTAGAATGGTTTGTTTTGGAAAAGACTTGAGGATCATCTGGTTCCTACCCCTATGCCACGGGCAGGGAGACTTTTTTCCCAATTTCCCATATTGTTGTACTGTTTATGAGCCAAGAAGCCAAAATTAAGCTGCTATTTTAGACCAAGAGGCAAAGTAATTGAGAATTTCACTTTCTTGGAGACACACGATGGTTTTTTCAACAACTGTAGTGATATTTTACCATAAAAGATGAATGAAATGTATTTCTAGTCCCTACAGAAAAATTTTTCTCTTGAAAAGAATATGGAAAATTCAAGACAAATTAAGATATGAGATAGTGAGCTAAGTAGTTTATACATCAGAGGAGAGGTGCTAAATAATCCAAGACATTATCAAAGTGAATTAAAATGAGACTGCTGCACAGTATTCTTTGAGTTGCTTTAAATTCACAGTTGATTTAGTTTGTTTTGTTGCATTATGGGATGACTCAATCTGCTCTGAATCTGTGGTAAACATGGGCTTCTGAACTATTTCATTTATATTAATTTTCAACCTGCCAAAAAAGCATTGCTAAAAGACTAATTTAAAACATTTTCCAGGTAAATAAGAAGGTGGCATAAGAGGCCTCCAAACCAGGCCATACTGAGCCCTTCACTGAGCTATTTAGACAAGTTATCTAATCTTAGACTTTTTTGCATATAGTTCACATTTGTAATTATTCTTTATTTCTTTTTTTATTGGAGGATTAAAGAACAATAAAAAAGTGTGCAACATACTGAACAATCAGACAAATTTCTGATTTTTTCAAATTTACCCCCTCTTTTTCCTATAAAACTCACCTTCCACCTAAAGAGGGCAGATAGATAAGGCAGAGCTACCTCATATCCTTGGATATCACATTTTTATTTTTCAGCTAAAAATTAGGTTTGAATGAAATTTGAGGACTGGTCCAGAACTTCTGTCTGAAAGACATCTTATAATGCCTGATCCAATGTTTGATGGACATGTACAAATGAACTCAACTCATTGTACTTTTTTCATTTCTGCACCTGCTTTTATTAATTTTGTGACCTTTTAAGTAGTCAGCAAAAAGGATATATTTGTCTGCAGTGATCTTAATTAAAAAAAAAAAAATCAAAGTTTCTATTCCTTTTTTAAGACCTTTACAGCCCCTTTGAGATAATAGAATTTGACAATATCTGCATCATAAGTATTTCCATATGAGGAATGAGTAGCAACGCAGTGCAATTTTTTTAACCTCTTCTGTCTGTGCATTTAAATTAGAATACCAAAAGAAAGGAGAGGGAAATTTTTGTTCCACTAATGACCTTCGGTAGGTATTTATGTTAATATTCATCCATTTTTCTTTAATTTTAGATTTTTTAGAGAGCAAAGAGTGAATATTTATTCATCCAGTTCAGCTCCGCACAGGCTGAGGATGCTCTCTACAAATGTACCCCTACTTGCTTCAGTTAATTAAATTCAAGAAAGATGGTTTCTCTTATTATGCCTGAAAAGTTTTTAATTAACATAAACAATGTATCACTTAACCCATTTCTTGAACAATTAACATTCTTTTCTTTCAGGTTATCAGAGATGAAGCTAAAACCTACTTAGGCAGAACTCTGTTCTTGGCAGGTTAGCAGAAGAGTCTCATGTATAAGAACACCGGTCTTACCAATAACTCAGGTATTTCACACTGCTGGTAACAGGGACCATCTAAAACTTCCAGCCTCATGGAAATAATAGCACTCATATCTTACATAAAATGAATGTGTGACTTGATAAATAATATGAGTGCAGTCTGAACTGCTATGAATTTTCCTCAATACAAAATAAGATTAAAAAAGAAAAGATCAAGCAAATGCCGGACAAAAAAAGAAAGGCAAAGCTGTGGAGCTAAGTGATTTTGGGACCTACTTTTCATGAAGGGTTTGACCTTTTGCAGATAGATCTACAAAAACATAGTTTCAAGAATAGAAGAATGGTAGCTGCTCAAGGGTCTCTTTTATCATCATAATCACTAATGCAAATTACTTCATTTTTTAAAAACTGAATATCACAGTATCTTATTTCAGTCCAAATAACATGTACATTTACTGATTACCTGGAACGCTGACCTTACTCTGTAACTGGAGACACCCAGGTGCTCACTCTGCCTTGCACTCCTGATGTCTGATCCTGTTTCTTTGTCCTCACCCAAGACCCAAGCTGTCTGTCCTATCTATGCTTGTCTGCTAGGCTTATCATGTGCTCCTCATACTTCATCACACTTATCACATGTTACTTCCTCTACCATTTTATGTTAAGTACTGTGCTTAGTCCTATCTACCTTCAAACAGGGACAAAAATGTTGGTTTTGTCTTCCCTACAGATGTTGCTTCTCTGAGTAATTTAGCTATTTGAGACATTTTGTACAAGCATGCCTTCTACATGGATTTTACCTGGCAATAAATTAACTTTGTGACAAAAGGAAACTCAGAATTTCTTTAGCTTTTAGTGGTGCTTCAAATGTTGCTTTTTGATTGAGAGGACCCTAGAAATTTTAGGTATATGCAGAGATTAGTAACTACTGCTAACTCAGCTTACGTGAAAGGTACAATTTAGCCTTGTGGTAACTTCTAAGCAGAATAAATAGCTGTACCAGAGTGAAAAAAACCCAAAACAGAACAAACTGGCAAAGAAGTATTCATGCCAGATACAAATATTTTGCTATACAAGTCAGAAAAGTAACTGGCTAATACTAAAACATTCCAATGAAAATCCTGGGTATTCGTGTGATTCCATGTCCTAACATCTAAGAAAATTAAATAAATGTTGAGTAATCTTGACAGTATCACCTGCAAATCAATCCACTGTTGCACAACTCATTAAATAACCATTTCTAGGTAAACATAAGGAATTTTCACAAGCATGTGAAACTTTTTTCACATGTTTCACTTTTTAGAATCCATATCACACAGTTATATTGATTTTTTCGATACACACCTATGTGCACAGATACAAAAGAAATATGTAGAGGAGAGAGCTGCTTTAGTGGCAATGCCAGGGGGATGCACCACAAATGCAGCCAAAAGGAAGCTCCTGTGCAGAGATTTCTGAAAACCTTGTGAAAGGCAGCAAGTTCCTGAAATCTCCTGAAACACAGCTTCATTCTGTCTCACATATGCATGAAAATTTTATCCTCTTTTTTAAAATTTGTGCCCATGATTCATCATTCTTGACAGATACCCCAATTATAGTGTTCTGTGAATGAATGCCAGCCATGGAGAAGGTGGCAACAAATGTATGTGACTGAGCTGAACTGTCTTTTATTTAGAATTTTGAGAGCTATAAACACAAAAACTTTAATGGATGGTGTTTTCCTTAGTTCAAATGGATGTAAGAAAGATCAATACTCTCATGATATGAGACTGAATATAGTAGTCCTCACTCAATCTATATGAAAGAAAAATTCTCATTGCTCTGAAGTAATTTCCTGAATAACAACATCTGGAGAAGATGTGGCAGAGATTTAACCCTCTTCTTTGTTTCAACATCATTAGTGACTAATTAAAGGAAGGAAGACATAATCTCTTAATTTTCTTTTATAGAAGGAAGAGATTATGAAGGATCAGTTTAGCTGTTTCCTGCTTGGCCACCAAAACAAAAGCGACCCATTTACCATTTCCTCAAAATGTCCATATAATACCAAGGTCAGGGAAAGATTAAGCAAAGCCTCGGAAGAGTCTCCACCCATCCCTGTGCTTTTCCTCACCTTTTCCACTATCTCATAGTCCATCTTGAAGGCCCAGAGCTGGAGCCTGGCGGAGAGTTCGCTGATGGAGGAGAGGGTGAGAAGGAACTGCTCAGCGCTGCCCAGGGGGACATCGGGATTCGCCAGCTGAGCCTCCTGGATCTTCTGCTTTTCCTCCTCGGTGGGGATCATGGTCAGGATTTTCTGTACAGGGGCAAAAGAGGCAAACATCAGTGGTGGGGCTGAGAGGAGTGTGAGGGCTGGTTGCTGTGTGACCCCACAGCAGCCACAGTCAAAGTCCTCAAGTCCTTGGCTGTTAAATTAGGACAGCACAGCAGCAACCAAGAACTAATCCACTGTACAAGGAAGCAAAACAAGGACTGCTATCTCACACATCTGCAGTTTGTTTAAAAATGTGTCTGGATTGAAATTTTTTTTTTTTTTGAAATCTGTGTTTAGTAGATAGTAAGTGGCTAATCATGGGATGAAACACTGAAGGGCATGAAAGGAAATTGGTTAGGACTGATCTCATCGACTTGCATATGTTTAAGTCAGAACTTAATATCTTTTTGTAAATTACATGTGGAAGTAAGGGTAAAAGGAGAACAGTTTTGTGGCCTGTGATTTACAGCAAGTGAGACTAGACTTTAAGGTCTCTTTTAGCCCCAGTATCTATAAATCATCTAGCGCAATTGTAAGTATACAGGAATAACTTGAAGACTCCTGTCCCTTGCTGTCCCCATAATTTCTTACTTTTGTTCAGTCTGTTTTGTTTTTCTTATGGAACATGGAAACTATTACAGCTTACTAGGTCACTCTTAAAGATTTCACCCTAACAACAACTTCCCAAGGAACACATTGAATTTAAAGCTGAATTACGCATTGCATAACATATGGCCTTTTTTCCTTTTATCTGAAAGAGGACCTCAGTATTTTCAGTTTCTGCTGTCAGTGTGGTACAAAATATTTAAATTTTAAGTCATGAATTTTACAGGCTTGCTTAAATGTGGCAGCTTTCCTTCTGAAATTATTGCTCTCTAAGGTATTGCTTCTTAATCAGTTTTTAACACAATAAATGCAGTTCAAAATAAAAAGAAAATCAAAACAACATAAAGGCATCAGATAAGTTGAGGTCTCTACCCTACTGATCAATGCCTCCTTAAAGCAAAGCAGATTTCTAACACAATTTATGTTTATTCATCTCAAGAATGACATGTTTTTGCTGTAGCCGTCTATAATGATAGAGGCTGTTTTGAAGGGGAGGAGAGAATAATAAAAATACAGCCAAAGAGCTATCTGACCTGCCAATCCAAACTACAGCCTTGTTCCAGCACTGGACATAGCCAATCCATCAAAGCAGCACAACTGCCCCCTTCCAGTACTGAAAGTTTCCCTGGCTGTTTCTACATTTCTACAGCACTGTAGCTAAGTGTGGATAGAGAGCAAGGGACTTCTCCTGGGCAATCAGGCCAAGAACAAAAGTGAAGCAGGCAAATAAGGTTCAATTTGTTGAAATGGGATTTATTTAATTTCAGCCACAGCATTTCTATTGCTGTCCATTTTCTTCTGTTGACTTCCATAAACATTAAAAAAGAAGCATTTTCTGTTAATGTTGCCTGCCTCTCTCTCTTGCTCTTTGTTATAAACAATGACAAAACCAAAAAAAAGCCTCCTTGCTTGGACACTCAAGATTCCACCTAAATAAATTATTTTCTTAAGAAAAAAAAAAAAAGAAAAAAAAAGAGGAGGAAAATCCCTCAACACACTCTGGTGCTTTTCCTTAGCCTGAAATGACTGCTTGGAAAATATTCTGATGTACGCGTGTTTCAACTGACAGCATTTGTGTATTGATTTTGAGATGTGCCATCCATCCATCCATCCATCCATCCATCCATCCATCCATCCACCTAGACATGTTAAAATCTGTAACTTGGGTCATACCTAACATAAAACTAGATTCCTAATTAGCTGCTTTATAGTCTCATTTCTGAATCAATACTCATGTAAAAAAGTCTGAAAAAACCCCCAGACTGAGCCTGAAACTCATAAAGAAAGGTGCTTTGCAGTGTGCCTTGAAGGAGTCAGGCATCTTAGTGCCTACTCCTCTTCCACAAGAGGAAGACGCTCTCAGCTGAGACAGGGCAGCTTGCAAATAGGATCATATTGGACATCCATACATGGAGAGTTTAGCAGTACCCATGTGATGGTTGCAAAAATGCTTCTGATGCATTTTTGAAGGCTAACACTGCAGCAGTATTCTCAACTGCCTCCTACAAATAACTAGGATTTTGGCAGCTGCTCAGGGATCCCACAAGTATTTTGTGGTGGGGCAATGCCCTCACTCCAAATTTTACACTGCTTTGGGGCATTTTAAAGAGAGCAAAGGAACAGTAAGCTTTATTTCCAAAGGGACTCTCCTCCTCCTTGAGCTTTATATAAACATCACAAGATAGATGGAGCTGACAAAAAGCATTCAAGTCCAAGTTCTGCAAGACTGCTGTGCTGCATACCATACTATGTGAAACAGGGCATGCCAAACAAGAGGCTGTGCTTCTGGTGCCAGCTGCTGAGGATCAGCCCTGCTGCTGAAAGCCCTGCCTTGGTGAGGCCAGAGCTGCTGGCAGATCACACACCATCCAGGGTGCAAGTGTCCCCATAACAACAACCTACACCAGCACTCCTGATCTGCTTGGGCAAATGATTCTGATCCTGCTGGTCATCATCCCTGGTGTGCCCCTGAGCAAGTAGTGAAATGCTCCTCTTCTTGATTTCCATGCTGTGACTAATTTGAGCCATTTGTTTGGTGCTGGAAACTGATGAGTACACCATCTGCCACTTTTTTATTATTTTAGTTTTTATTTCTATTATTTTTTGAAAAAAACCCCCACCCTAACAGTAAAAGTAGCATAAAATCACAGCAGGGCAGAAGGTTACTGGCACCTGATGTGACCATTAAATCACAAACAGCTTAGAGTCCAATCATTAGTTCATATTGCTCTTCCCAGTACACAGAATCCAAGAGTGGGTTATGTTGGAAGGGACCACAGTGGGACTACTGATCCAAGCTCCTTGCTCAAGGAGCCATCCCAGAACACATAGCACAGGACTGCAACCAGATGGTTTATGAATATCTTCAGTGAGGGAGACTCCACATCCTCTCTGGGCACCCTGTTCCAGTGCTCAGTCATCTGCACAGTAAAGAAAGTCTTCCTCATATTCAGGTGGAACTTCCTGTGCATCAGTTTCTGCCCATTGCTCTTGTCCTGTTGCTGGGAACTACTGAGAAGAACCTGGATGCATCCTCTTGACACCCTCCCTTCATATACTTAAATACTGTCAAGTTTGCTTTTCCCCAGGCTGGACAGGCCCTGCTCCCTCAGTCTTTTCTTGTAACTGAGGTGGTGTCAGCAGCCTTCAGGTCAATGAAAGAAAAACTGGTAATCAATAAACCCTATGCTCATATTCTCTAGCATATGTGACACATATACCAGAGAATATGAGCATAGTGTTTATTGATTACCAGTTTCATTTTTCATATTTCATCTTCACGCACTCTCACAAAACTGTTTGGGCCAGAGCCTTATGTTTTGAGGAAAACGTGTGCAAATACTCGAGGAAAATAAGCAATTTTTGCATGAGATAATGGACTCCAATTATTCTGCTTCCAGACTCAGCCACCTGCTTCAACTTTCAGCAAAGGGATCAAACTGCTCATTTCCTGGACTCTGCCATTCTGAGGTATAATTTCCAAAAGTTCCTAAGAGGGAGGACTTACAAAACCAACATATGGCTGAGGATGATGGACACCTCAGTGTGGGATGCAGGGAAGCACCTAAGCAGTAATAGTGAATAGCCCAGCACCCCTGAGGAAATTAGGTGCTTAATTTTCTCTTTCATGAGATGCTGGGCTTCTCAGTGACAATGAGGTTGCAGGAGTGTCTCATCTTTGGTGTCTGGTTTCACCTGATCTTACCAGGTGAACAACAGCCAAAGAAAACAGTAACTCAAATATCTGTTTGTTGTTGTTATTGTGTTCAAAGCTTTCTGTGGCTTGAGGACCACAAACACATAAGCTCCATCACCAAGCACATGTTAGTGGGTATTTCACCAGATATTTCACAGGCCTCAGAAGACAATCCAACTCCTGAAAGGCTCTCTCACATTTCAGGTTCCCAGGCAGCTGTTAACAAGACCCACGGCTGGTTTGCATTATCTGCTGAAACTCTAAGAAAATGTAACAGCATATGAAGGTCAGAACTTCACTGTAAGGGAAGCTGCCTGCACTAATATTATTACAACTCTTCCAAAAATGATCCAATTCTGAGAAAGAATTCCATCTGAAATGATGATGACCATCCTTGTAAATCAGGAACTGATACCTCAGACAGACCAGTCCTCTTCGTGTGGCTTTTTTTTTTTTTTTTTAATAAAGTCTGAAACAGATTAGGGCTGTGATATGCTGACTGTGGGTCAGCAAGGCACCACTGAGGCCATTCTCACTTCTGTGTAGACTTGTGAAAAAGGTGTTCTTTCAGGTCACACAACCTAGCATCGTTTGAAACATCACACTCTTACAAAGCATTAGACAAACAAATTGGAAACTGCAAATGTTGATGTACCATGTCAATGATCAGAATAAAAATGTAAATACCTTACTTGTTTCCAAAAATCAAATTTTGATTTCTTTTTATACATATCACCATCTGGCTTTTTAACATCAAGCTCTCACATCTTACCCCTTTTTACATCTCAGGGCTATCTAGCCACTCCAGACACCAATATATCAAGCTATTTATTATGGGTGTAGCACACCTGGGTATGGAGGGTACAGCACACCCAGAGAGATTTTTTTTTTTCATTTCGAAGCTTTATTAAAAAGCTATACCTGCTAATGAAATCAACATCATGTAGCATCACAAAGCCATATTGTAAAGCAGAAAACAAACCATGCTAATTTCCTCACAGCATTACCCTAATTTTAGTCTGCTAAATTAACCATAGCCTTTGGTATTAATTGATTTTGGTCCACACTTCCTTACTAAGCAACCCTTTATAGAGAGATCCACTCATTTCCTTCTGTACAGACAAGCACTAAGGACTGGTTTATTGGACTCCCTTCTTGCAGTTGCTTCCGATACACAAAAATTAGGTGCCAGGATTTTAAGCTTGCCTCTTTTGCTTAACTCCCAGCAAGACCTCTTCCACTGTAAGGAGGCAGTTCTTTATTCTGCATTGAGCTCCAGGTTGTTTGAACACAATGAATGCCAGGTTTTCAAAGAAAGGAAAACACAAACACTTTGGCAAATGTAAGGTGGCAAAAATTTTTTTTTAGCTGGACTGGCTCGTGCTTGCAAACACATGATGTGCATTCCTCCGAAAACACATTTCAAACAGTTCCTCCCTTGCATACTAAGTGGACTACATCTGCCTTTCTAGTGTCATGGCCCCACTTTCTGCCTTTTTTCACAGCTCAGAGGAACCTAACTGCTTTAAGACCTAAAAATATGCAACATACTTAGGAACAGAGGGCTATAAAATACCTAACTGCTTTAAGACCTAAAAATATGCAACATACTTAGGAACAGAGGGCTATAAAATACCTAACTGCTTTAAGACCTAAAAATATGCAACATACTTAGGAACAGAGGGCTATAAAATAAGTGGAGTATTTTTTCCACTTAGTCATATAATTAAAGTTAAAAAGTAAAGTGGATTACTAACAAGAATTCAAAAGCAAAGCATCTTTCAGCAGATGTAGGGCAGCAGTGGAGGCTCTACTGGACCCAGTGCTCTAACATGGGACTGAGCAGATTATGAATTGGGCTATCATGAACCTGGGCCTGCAGCCCACTGCATCCCTGCTTGTTGCTAGCAATAACTCCAGCACTGCTCTAGTCCTCTGTCCTTAGAGGAATCCTTAAGGTCAGTTTAAAGGCACCATTTAATCCACTGAGGTGCAGAACACACACACTCACATGACAGTGACAATGCTTCTCAGCAAAGGACAGAGCAGAGAGCTCTCTGCCAAGGCAAAGGATGGTTCAGATGACTTTTACACTGTAGGTGCTCTGCTCTTTGTTGGATCTGACAAAAGATGAAGATGATCCTAAATTGTAGCTTCTCTGAAATATCAGCAGTGAAGGTTATGTTGCCACTGCACATATCTATTTTCCTGTTCTCTTTACATCTCTCTTCTGCTTACCGGATGTGACATTTCTTCTAGATCTAGATCTGCACAATTATTGTGCAGAAAGGCTTTTGAGTGTCCACGGTGGTACAATTTTTTAATTAGGCTAATAGCATATTTTTTTCCATACCAGTCCTGCCTCAATCAACCCATGGATAAGAAATCAATTGCATTATATAGTAAATTGCTGTATTATCCGTGGGGTTTTTAATACATGAACCTGATTCTTACACTATTACTGATTCATTCAAAATGGCCACCAATTTTTTCCTTATATTTAGATAGATATGAACCAGAAAACTTCTAAAAATCTAGACTGAAAAAACAATCTGTCTTCCCTCTATGCTAACTTCAGGGCTAAACAGACAGAAAAAGAGAAGAGACACAGCAAACAAAGTTTGCCTCCATTGTAGACCAAAGGGGCAGTATAGAAAACTGAGGCAGGGATCTGCTGAAAACAGTGGGAATCAGAGTAAAGCATTTTAGTATCAACCTGTGTGCTACGTGGCCAATTCTGAATAGCTTAATCCAGCCCTCTCCATCACTATTAAGGTCTGACTCTGCAGCATGCTGTAAGAAAAGTATGTAATTTGGGAGTGAAAAGGAAATCTGAATTCAGTGTAGGGTTTTACCTGATAAGAAGTAAATAATATAAATAACTGAGGGAAAAAAACTTTTCTCCGTGGACATAATCCTTCCCAACCAATCAAGATCTCATTCCTCAAAGTGCAAAGTATCTGGGCTCAGCTGCACTTACCCTTTCTCTTGATTTCAAATACCTGAATGATCACATGAGGATTACTCACATCTCTAGCTTCAAGCCGTGGGGACAGACCTCAGAGACCTTTTCTTTAGCACTGGGCAAGTATATTAATAGTGCCCAATTTCCTGGTTTCTTGAATTCTTCAGATTGAGATCCACTTTCATATATATTTTAAATTAAATTATGGGTTCCTGGCAGCTAATGGAAAGGCCACCCAAAGGAGGGTGTGGTGGTACAAAGCACAGCTGAGGACACCACAACAGGTGGTTGGCACATGGGCAGCCCAGAGACACATGTTGGCAGTAGAAAGGATGGGCTGTACAGAGCACCTGAAACCAGAGGAGGACACAATTGCAAGGAGATGATACCCAGAAGTTAATGAAGACTTGTCCTCCTTTGTCAGCCATTTTATGTTATGTGCATGGAAACACTGCCTGCAGCACTGAGATCTACCTGGCTGTGAGCTGGGCTTGGCTGGAAGGGTACTTATCTCCGACACTTTAAAGCTTAGTACTGCAGACTGCAGTGGTGGGTATCTGGGCTGGGTCATGAAATAATCACTGGTGTTAGAGTGATCTGCCACCTTCATAATATGAGTAAAATATGCATACAGCGAAAAGTAATATAGCTTGGGGAAGAAATTATGTTCTATAGAGACAAATCAGCCCCTGGCTTCTAACCAGAAGGATCTTTTGCCTTAAGCATTTCTTTTTCATGCAACTGTTGGCAATACCATTTTCATTCCAGGAAGCTTTTCTCATCTTCTTTTGTAGTCAGTAAGGTGGAGGTGGAAAGGGGGAAATAATGAAACACAGTGCCAAACCACAAAAAGGTGACTGTAAATTAATATATGATTTCTGAGAGTCACTGATTGAGATTTGTAGTTGTGCAGATTACTCTTACTAGAAGATACAGGCTTACTGAAAAAAAAAATAAATTGAAATGAATACGACCATAATGAAAAAAACAGTGGAGCCACAGGCTTCTTTTACACTTCACAGAAGAAAAATGTTTTGATAAAAAAAATAATAAACAGAGCTCATCTTGGATCTCGGTAAGAATATCTGCAAAGTCAAACACTTAGTGGTAAAAATTACATCATCTGTAATCTTTATACCAACTGCTTTTCTTCAAACAACAGTAACACAGAAATGCTATTCTGGGCAGAACTAGTTGCTGTATTTGTTTTCCATTAGATATACAATCTAGAATGACTCCAACAGCTAGCTGGGCATGAAATTTATTAAACCCTGTACCAGTTGCATCAGCCCTAGTAACTCACTGCCTATTTTTGCTGCTCACAATGTTTCAGTCAGGCTTCAGATAATACTCTGAAAAACCTGATAGGAATTAACACCATTGCTACTCAAACAAAGCAGATAATCCATGGTCACTGAGCATGCCCAGCCCCATGATACTTCCTGCCTCTGAGTCCACTACACTGGTTTCACAAATTTCAACAATCAGACACGATATAATACACCCCCTTCCCCTTCTTCCATGCCTAGTCTGGCCTGTACCATATACAACATGAGGAAAAAAAGTATTGAAGATGCAGATTTGAAGACATTGACTGTTCTTTCTTACCTCTATTCCTTCCTTGTTTAAGGCATATTCATCAAAGTTCAAAATAGCAGTCTTGATGGTGCGGGGAGGGGGCAGCACAGTCAAGCCAATATTGATGGCGTTGCTCCGCTTTGAGTCCAACACAATGATCTCCTGTCGCTTCCCATCTGCAGCAGTTTTCTTGGTAAAGAATAGAACAAGGTCATTATTCCTCAGATCTGTTTTATAAAGGAAAAGTCACTCCTTTCACTAATGACTTCCCCCACTCAAGAAAGCTGACACTGAGTGTAAACCTAATTTATTTTTAGGCATCAAAACAAGCTGAATTCTTGTGGCACATCCTTATCCTATCAACATGAGCTGCCAGGATTCAATCACAGATCTGAACACCGCTGTGCAAAGCAGAGCTAGTCTGACACAGTCCTCAAAAGGGCAGTTTGGGGCAGGAGCCAGTCTGGAAAATACCTGAAACTGCCTCTGCCAGCCCAGAGCTCTGTTATGCAGCAGGACTGGCCAGCACAGGCCTGCTGGGGCAGCAGCTGGGCACCCAAGGGGCTCCAGGGCTCAATTCCCTGTTGGATGCACCAATCTGGACCCTCTCTCACTTGTGTGTCTGGCTGGGAAAAAGAGTAGTTCCCATGTGCCTGCCAGCATTCTCCACTGTTATAAATCCACCTTGGACACAGGCAAAGGAGCTGCAGGTGCCTCTCTGGAGGCACTGGCTTGGTTTTCTAACCTTTGGCTGCCAGGGAAAGTTTTTGCTGCTCATGATATGTCTGTCAAGTCCTTCATAGATGCAGAAACATTTAAACTCTTGTGCTTCTTACAAAGTTGTATTTGAGACTATCCATATCCTTGGATCTTAGATCCAGTACAAATAATAATAAAATCACAAAGGACTGGCAACATATACTTTAAATTCCATTCTAGATTAGACCCAAGGAATTTTTTCTCTTTCTCCCCATCCTTATAGTGACAAAATGTGAACCAGCTATGCAAGGTGACTAAAAATCCACTTATATGGCATAATGTAGTGTTGAATGAGGTCTTTGGTTTTACACCTCAGCATGTCTCTCTTTCTCTCTCTCAACATCCCATGCTAGAAGGTGTCTCTTTGGTAACTATGTATGTCGTGCTGGGTAGCTGAAAGGTGAGAGGACTCTGCTCCTCATACTCAGGTTTTTTCCTCCCTCTGCATATATGTGAACACTGTAAACATGTTTTCTGTGGTTCTTCTGCCTTTTCCCTATCAGACATGGGCTGAGGAATGCCATCAAGCACAGGAGTGTAGGGAGAAGTCCTGCACACTGATGTTATCAGTCTTTGATCTCTTGTGGATTTGGGGAAAGCCCAAGAGGAGACTTACTGCTCCAGTCTCAATCTGTGCTCAGGATTGTTTTTTAGACTATTGAGCTTTGTCCTTCACTTTCTTTGGGTCAGCACCACAGCCACTGAGACACAAAATACCCCACTGCCAGGCCTACGTGCTGTTTTTGAATTGGAAGTTAGTAAATATGATTTCATCAAAGCACCTCCAGCTGTGGACAGCCCATAATGGGGAATACAGCTGTATCATTAAAAAGATACCTTTTTCTGGCACAGCCCAGAACCTTGCTCACACAGGAAGAGGTTTGGCCACTGGTTCCTGCAGCCTGCTCAGCACCTGTATGATACCACAGCCCTTTCCTCATTCCAGAACAACTAACATGGTAGGATGCAACTTTTGCACACACATGGGACTCAAGGCAGGTGCTGTTTACAGGAATTAGGGAATACCACATGTATATGATCTGAGAAAGTAATAGGAGGGTTGTTTTTTCCAAACTTAAAAAGAAACAACAATTTTGCAGTAAACGGAATAAATTTAAGGAGAGCAAAGATAACATTTTTTTCGATGTTTTTCTATCAGTTCTGTCAGAACTGATCTCTTCTTAACAGCTTAAAAGCATCCCCAAAGCCTTCCTGGATTTTCCCTTTTTTAAATAATAGTCTTCTCTTTTTCTTGGGGAGCTACCTGAAGGATGTGAGATGCAGCTTCTCCTTTGATGCAGTAGCTTTTACTTCCCAAGCCGCTAATCACATTCTCAGGACCACAGTCAGTGGCCAAGACCACATTAAGACCAAAGAGGGTTCACCAGAGACTGCCTCCTTTTGAACTTGTGTTGCACTAAGCCTTTTTAAAACCATCAATTTTTACCTTGTTCTTAAGAACACAGAATTACACAGCTCCAAAGAATTTATGCAGAAGGGAAAAAGCCAGAGGAAAGGAGTTAAATTTAGGCTTCCCACATGTGGTATGGGTAAGAAAGCCTCAAATGTTCAGCTCTGTTTTTAGGCTCCCAAGTCTGACAGGACAGACACTTTAATTTGGGGGACGCAGGACGCTCAGAGCCGGGATCACTGCGATCCCTACAGTGCACACACTCCCAAGCAGTGAGTTATGGAAGACAGATCAGCTGCACAGGGCATGAGTGCATGCAGGCATTTTCCACAGCTAGAACTGCATATGGGATATAAAATGTTGGGGTGGTAACCCTTCTCAAAAACAGAGGCTGAAGAGATTTTAAATCCATTCTTGGGATGATGTCTGAGTTCCAAAGAAATCCTTTCCAAACAAATAAAAGGATGAAGAAAAGAGAAAGATTTTACGACTATGAACTTTACTACCTTACCCTCGGAAAATAATTGGTTTTTGTCTGCAGTGAAGTTGCACAGGTGGAAGTGTCTGACTGTTAAAATAAGCTACAACTACTAAGTTCTACAACAATATTTGGTGACTTCAATCTATGCTTTATAAATTCATTAACAGAGAGTGAGTTAAATGGCTTGAGGGAACAGTGAACTAGTGCGCTTGATTTTATATTTTAATGTGTCAGTATGAAGCGTAATCCCTGAACTTCTGAATATTATATGTACTATATTATTAGGTGTAATTACAAAGTAATTATAAAATACAAACATACCAGCTAGTATAATCTTTAGAAATCAAACACCTCTGCAACGTATTAACAATTATAGTGTTTATAAGACACTTTACAAGACCTAACTGGCCACATTCTCTTGCCTCTGTTGAAGACTGGGTAGTCCAGATGGATTATTTAAAACCTATTACCATCCCACAGAAAGGGATTTGCAGTCTGATGAGAATATAGTCTTAAACATGCCTCTTTGTTTTAATTAATATGGGAAGGAGAAAAAAATTAAAAAACTTTTCAAGTGGTCATTTAAATAAACAATTATATTGTGAATATCAATTTAGAAATATCTTCTGCCTTTAAACTGCATTTTGCACTACTGCAAAAGTAGTGCATAAAAATCTACCTTAATAGTGAGATGGCTTTTTAAATTTTTTAAAAAAATATTATTTAATTTCTATCTCAATTAGCAAGGATTTAATACAAGAGATGTAAAATGGCATCCCTCAGCAGCCACTGACTTTTTCCAGGATATCTGTATGCAATCTTTTTCAGAAATTCTGGTCCACATTTATGAGTTGTCTTGGCATTCACTGAAATTAAAACAAATCCTTCCAAAAGGAACATGTCTAAGCATGTGCACATGAAAACAGATTCCTTCTTCTCTCCTACTAATTTTTATGTCTGCGGGCACATGATGGATCACTATATCCCACAGGGTATACATGAATCAGCAAAATGATACTTTCATGCAAAACCAAGTGGATGGTAAAAGGGCTGAACAACAGCATTTGATTGAGGAGTGTCTGCATGTTTTCACTTCTCTTCACAGAAAAGTAAACACTTTGAAGTACTTTGCCAAAATACCTGCTTTGTTCAGTGGAGTGAGAAGGAAAGAAATACTACACTGGTTTGGAGGGGATACCTGATCACTCCTTCTATTGGCAAATATAATGCAGGGTGCTCTAGTCTAAAAAATAAACCATCTGCAACTAAAGGTGCTCCACTAAATAATATCAATGTGCAAGTTTCTCAGTGTGGCATAAGTTTTCCTAAAATCAAGAATCTCCTCTCGCAGTCCCAGCCCCCAAAATCCTGTATTATATCCTACAATTTTCAATCCACTTTATTTTATTATAGTCTATTGTGTTTAATGAAAAACTTCTCATGAGCCAGGAAGTAGCTGTTTATAGCTGTGTGTTGTGGAAATCACAGTGAAGGATTAGAAACTGGAGTAAAATTGGTTACAGCTGTATGAGAGAGCATAAGCACAAGACAGAGCCAAGCTCCCCCCCCTTTGTGCCCCCTGACTTTGCTTTTCCTCTCATCCTTCTGGACTGTTCCTTTTCTATGCAGCTACTTCCATCTCTTAAAATGAAATCTAGAGATTTGACTTCTGATTTGTTGCTCTGCACTCTCTTTTTTCAGCTGAACCAACTGAGCTGTGAGTCAGACTTTACGATATTATAGCATAAACCTGTTTTGGACTGCAGCCATTGGACAGGAGAAACTAGACACAATGGGGAAAGTGCTCTCTGGAAATAAACCAAGCAGTCTGGAAAAATCGAGAGCTATCCTAATTTGAGTGTAATCTTTGTACCAAACCTCAAGTCTTTCACGGATTCGGTGGTCTGCCTAATTATTCCCACTCTCACTTGATCTAAGGACCATCTCCTGCTCTGGAAGATTTGCTGGTGTTCACGAAAACCAGGCAGGAGTTTCAAAAGCCTGCACAGAGCTCTACTATGGTACTTCTCAGTCCCCATTGTCTTCTCTGCAATGAGACAATGAGACTTCTATGTCTGTGTTATGCGACAGGGTGGAAAGAGAGCCAAAAGTACAATGTCTCATGCAGAGAGCAGTTATTGGTAGCCAAGGGGAAAGCACCTAAATCATTCCTCAGACTTGCACTAATTTCAAAGAAACCTGCTCACTCATCTTCCAGCCAGAAGCCAAAAGCTCTGCCAAAGCATCAGGCAGGTTTGAGAAGCAAGTGTGAGGGAGGGAAAATGGCCAAGGGTAGTTTGGGAACATGCATGATGATTGACTGGAAAAGTAAACAAGTCATAACTCCAACAACTTAAAATTTTATCAAAATTTCATGTGAGAATAAAAAATTAGGAATCACCCAGAGTGCTCCATTACAATGCTGGCACTTAGCACAAAGCTAAATTTTGGAAATGGCAAGTATGTTATCATTCCACGTTCAATTCAAGGAATTAAATATTTTATGGATCTAAGAAAATGCTCTCATTCCTTCCATCTATGAACCATCTGTGTCAGATTTGTATTTACGGGGAGAGAGATGAGGAGTAGCACGCCACGGTGTCACCAGCATTCCTTCCTCAGCAGAGAAGGAATCAGAGAGAGAAATTAATCTCGGCATTGGCCAGATGAACAATCAGCTGGATGTGTTTTTAAAGGTGCTACACATACGTTTCAGATTTGTGTGCATCTGCGTTACAAAGAAATTCAGCTAAGAGCAGTGGCGGCAGGATCTACATGGGCCAGCTCTTTATGTACCTGTTGCATGCTAGGTACTTGGGAGCTTGATTATAGAAATTCCAAGGTTTCCACTTTGTCAAGATGATCAAGAATGACTTTTAGAAAATTTTGACTTAATAAACTGGGCAAGTGACACAGAGAACCTTTACTGTGAGACTTCCAGATTCCCCAGAGTAGGAGCAAACAACAATATCTGTAACACATAATAGGTGTAATAATTTTCTCTAGTTAAAGAGAAGTAAAATATTCAAGATGCTGACTGTTTTTATATTACTATAAAACATATAGGCATACAGAGAAAACACACAAGCCATTAATTTATTTTAAGAGAGATGGACATTTTTTACTACCATTTGAACTGGAAAAAAAAATTGTTTCCCTGATACCAATTATGCTGCTTAGAAGAAAAAGAGTTTATGTAGCCACGAAAAACAAATGTTCAGGCTAATAACTTTTTTAACGCTACTTCAAGTTCCTCTTAAGTGTAACTATAAAAAGGTTCCTTTTATTGTTGATTCCAATGTTAAACAACCATGTCATGAGCCTTTGTGAGTTTATTTTATAACAATACTAAGGAAGAGGGAATCCTAGCTACGGAGGTATTTCCTGTACCAGCTTCTGTCCTAAAATTGCCACATTGTATAAATTAAAGATTTAAATAGGCCTGTTCAACAGTACAAAACAAAAACCCAACACCCCTGCAGATTTCAGCTGTAAACATGACAATTCCATCCTTCAGGACAAAGCACATGTGCAGACTCTTTGCAGCAGATCCAGTCTGATATTCTAACCTTTCCACATAATGATTAGGAAAATATTACCAAGTGAAGAACTGTCAAATACACAGATATGAATCACCATGCTGTGACCTTTTTGTGAATGCAACAGAAAATATTTCAGATTCCAGTATCTAGTTTGGCACTCAGCTATGGACAATCTAAATGTAAAATTTGTTGGTATTTGCCACCTGGAGTGCTATCCCACAACTGGGAGACCTGAGACAGGAGGGCAGCTTGGCACATAACCAGCCTAGGCTCATCTCTAGTGTCAAGCCATGGAATATCTTCCGTCATAGGCCAAGATAGAAACACATCCAGTAATTTCCACTGGTTTGATATAAACAACATAAATCACCTAGATCTAATTCAGAATGAATACCAATACAATAGCAGAAAAATAGCAAACTGAATACAAGCTGTACCTTTGTGACAGGCAGTTCTTTGGATTTCGACTCAAAGAGATGCTCCAGTTTGGAAGTGTCTACCTTAATGGGTTCCAGTTTCGACCACAGGAATTCTCTGCAGCGTTTGTTGTTTTTACACTGCCACTCAAATGGCCGTACCTCATTCCAAAACAGACGGATGGTTTTCTTCTTCTTTATAAATGCTGGCTGACCCCTAGAAACCTGGGGTGACCCTAAACCCTGAGGAGTGCCGAACAGTGGAGGAGGAGCCAATAAATTACCAGAGGGCGGTGGTGGAGGCGGGCATCCAAACAAGGGGGGAGGTGGTGGAGGAGGCAAACCCAAAAAAGAAGGTGGAGGTGGAGGAGGGGGAGCAAGGGAGTCCCCAGGACCCATATCCATGTCTAACACATCTACATCATCCTCCTCCCCCAAGTCTGTAAAATCCATGTCCTTGATTTTAAGTTCTCGAGGATTAGCCATGAGCTGATCCCAGATGTAATCAGATTCCTTCTTTGTCTGTGCTGGTGTTTTCTCAGGGATCTGTTCACTGATTTCATCTTCAGGCACTGCTGTCCCTTTAGCCAGCTCACCACTGTTAAATTTTTCTGCAAAGGCTTTCACACTGCCTTGGTTGTCCAGATTTCCAATCTCCATCTTTTTGACACTTTCATCTTTGGCCTGCTTTGTGGCCTGAAGTATAGAGATCCTGCTGGCTAGGCTAGTGAGTGATTCCTCGCTTTCCTCCGTCTCCTTCTTTTCCTCCTTCGCCTCCAGCTCCTTCTCCTCTTCATCTTTGGGCTTTTTGTTATGCGCATACAACATGTCCAGCATAAACCGCTTGTTGTTGAGGATGTTGCTGCACTGCTCATTCACATCAGCATCCTGAATGGTCTGTGACCATGGACCTGCAATCACACACACAGAGACGGGAAGAGTCAAGGGAGGGAAGTCAGAGCACCAAGAACACTCTTCAACCAACAAAAAAAACCATGCAAGGGATGCATGTACAACTACTCTTAAACTAGGGAAACAGTTACTGTGAAAAGTTTGAAATAAGATACAGCACTGATATGGCCTGATCTTGGGTTCGGAGTAATTCTCAAAAAAGGAAGGGGACTAGAGAAACAACATGTAGTTTTGTAGGGACTATATAACTTTCAGGATTTGAATATTCAGGTTTCTCCTGAAATCTGTCAGGTTTCATTTTGTACTTACTACCTCAGCTCATTTTATACAGTGCATTAATTCTTATAACCCTTGGTATTTCAGAATTGGGCTTAAATATCATGACAATGACACAAAGCAGGTTATTCTTCACCTGGCCATGTACTGGAACAACCTCAGGAAAATATTATCATATGAAAGAGATCTTCCTTGCCTGATGCCAAGGCTGACCTGTTTACTTCTCCTCTTCCCACTCTGCTGGCTAGGGAAGGGCAGCTTTCAGATCCTCAGAACTCCCTGGCTGGGTACCTGGGCCATCTTCACAACACAGACTATTGGAATTCCAAAGTAGGCTGCATACCCAGGTTATAGCTCTCAGGGCAAAGAGTGTAAGCATAAGCAAGATTTTAAAAGTTGTTTATGATACGAAAACCTCTATAAAATACCTCTGCTCATCAACCACTGTTAACCTCCCTGTTATATGTCAGTGTTGAAAGACTATTGGCCTACCCACATTACAATCATTTAACATTTCACTGTAATGAACCTTCATCTTTCTGACTACTGCTTTTCTCACCAATAATAAGGAAAATACCATGTCTGAGACAGCACCATAAATAACAAATTATAGTGGTCAAACTTGAAAAATATATGATGTAAGCATCACTGTGACTTCATTTCCCCAAATTTAATACTACTAACCAATGTGGATAATGTGTCTAACAATTATGGTGTTCCTTTTTCCAGTGGGCATCAGATGAAGTGATTAAACAATGATAATTCTTCACACTTACTGTATTTCCTGTATGGAATTCCTTCTGTTCCCCACAGTCCTTACACGTTTTTCATAAACACCACTTCTTTTATTTCATCATTTTACTTTGATTGCTAGCCCGCCTTTTTTGGGGGGGGGCTTGTGGTTAAAGATTTTATTTTATACCTGTAGGTTGCCTACAGGTATAAAATAAAATCTTTAACCACAAGGCCCCCACAATCTTTATTTTTCTTAAACACTCATTTTATGTTGGTTTCTTCACTTATGCTGCCACTTTTTTCAATACCTTGGAGATTTAAGTATATTTTACAGCTTTCTCGGTCAATGGAGTTGCATTCTTACCACAATATCTAGTCCTGTGTTCTGAGAAAGTGTCCTCTTGGTGAGATACATCCAGGGTCCCACAACTCCCAGCCTCCCCTCTCTTAAAACAACATTGCATTAAAATGTAGGGCCTTGCAGCACAAAGTATATAGACAGCAGTAACTCCTGCCTCTATTTAGATCAAGGTCTAAACCACATTTTAAAATCAGTCCAAAGGTTTAATCCCACAAAAGAAAAAAGAAAGACTTTTTTCAGAAATGGGTACGACCTACTTTCCTGCTGGTGGACTGACTGCTTCCCTTATCTGCTCATTTTTCCTCAGACTTGATCCATGGCATTGCTCTCTTACCAATACTTGTCCACATGAGGTAGTCTCTGGTTTCTCTCTGAGTTTGCTTCATTAGACAACATCATTAGACAACATCACTAGACAACTCCTTCCCCACACCATGGATTCTACCCAGCTGTGCCCTCTCAGAGGATTTCCCCTACTCCAAGCCTTTCCTTCAAAGATGTTCAAGATGGCTCCCAAGATCCATCCCAGAAACCCACATGATCTACCCCTCTCAGTTTCACCAGATGGGATACTCTGGTGTTTAATCCCTTTGCAAAACTACTCATCAGAATTTGCCCAGACACAATCTCTAATTTGCATTCTCTAATTCCACCCCCAACTGTCCAAGCTGATCAAAGATCATATCTGTGAAGACTCTTGCTACGTTGGTGGCCTTTTCTGCTCTCCCCTCCACAGGTGGGGAATACCATTGGAGAAATAAGACTTGTTGGAAGCCAAATTTGGCAGTACGGCTAATGAAGAAGCTTGCACCAAGGGCAAGCCTTTGTCCTCAATGCACCTGGGCAGAACCAATGGGCCATCTTATAAATGGCAAAATGCTTCTTGAGAATGTCAAAACTGCTAGAGGAAGTCCTTGTTTGCTTTCCAGAATTCCTCACCTTCTGGACAGCAAACAACTCACTACATGAGTCCTCCTATACAGCACTACCAAATAAATCTTTGGTCCACTGGTAGTGTAGGACAATTTTAAGATGTTGATTTTAGTAAGAATACATTTCTTAGCTTTTAACAAAAGTACATAAGGACTTTAAATTAGAGCGGTAACAGGTCGGTAATAGACAAGGTAATGAGAAAAGACTTGCAACTGTTCTTTTTTGCACTTGGCCTATCTTGGACTATACCACAGTGTAGCAACATCCTTCGTCTGTGATCCTTCCCTAGCCTTTCCTACAGATATATCCATCTACATTCTTTATGAGTACAATTGCATTCTAGGTAACTCAATCTTGGTGCAGACTGAAAAGAAAATAGCTCTAAAATTTAGGATAAAATTTGTGGAATGCTTCCCAGAAAAAAAGTGACAGATTTAAACTTCAACAATTCAATCTGACAGTTTATGTCTGTGAGGTAATCGTTGGGATTCAGAACTATCCCTCTTCTTTCAGGACAGAGCAGGATTATTTCACACTATGAAGCACATCTCATTTTCTTATCTAGAATTTAGAGAATATAGGACAATTCCATGGTTCAGACCAAAGAAAACTTGGGAATCAAATGCCCTAATTATATTACATTTCTTTACCTCCCTATAAAAAAGGGAAAAGAGTAATCAACAAAGTCAAAATCTGCCATTTATTTCCTCCCTGCCTGGGCTGAAATAATTATTTTTCTGGGCAGAAACTGGTTATCATTATCTCTCTGGGCAAAAGCTTGGTACTTAGGGTGTTTCCCAGGCTGAACCTTTCCCAGCTGGTACCTGGTGGCCTATTTCACTAGAATCCCTCAGCACCATGAAACTGGTCTTTTCCAGATAAGGTGTATTTCATGCATCTCCTCCACATGAGCTAAAGACAGCCACAGCCCAGACCTATCTTCAGCAGCTCCTATTTATCTCCCTCTGCTGTCTGAAGCCTGTCCAAGACAGAAGTACTGAAGGGAAGGAACAAACATCTCAGCCCTCACTGCTCTTCCTTTTCCACTAAAATGATAAATGAGAAATGGTATCTGGAAGTTCATGATGAATCGTGCCAGCACAGCCCTTTGTCTCACTGCCTTATGTACAGAAAACCCAAATATGTTCTCCAGGAGCTAGAGATCCAAGTCTCTGCACATGCTGATTCAGTAGTTAATATATTAATCTTAGGGGAAGGAAATGGTCTCAAATCAAATGAAACTTCATTTCATCAAGGCCCTACTGTCCCTCAAACATAGTAACCCAAATAACATCTGGATGTCCAAGCAGAAAGTAGACAAGATTTGGCCATGGTGAAGAAAGTCTTAGACAGGTGCAAAGGGTTTGTTAGCTAATTAACACAATATCAGAGCTGCTAATTTAACACTTTTTTTTTCACCAGAAACCCTTCATTATTGAAAAAGCTTCACTTTACCAGTTTCATTGTCACTGGTTAACTTGTCCTCTCTCTCTTCCCTCTCTAAAGTGCTGCTTGCTGAGGATATACTGGATGCAGAACAGTTGTCTTTTTCATTCACTTCCTCATTCTGCCTCTCCTTTTCACTGAGTATTGCACTTTCTTCTGGCTCTTTCTCTGGTCCTTGCTCCACCTCACTCTCTGGTCCCACCTCTGCAGCCTCTATTTCCTTGGGTGTCTCCGTTCCCTGCTTGGCCTCAGCCTCAGCCTCCTGCTCTGGTTCTGGTTCTGTCTCTGTCTCAGGTTCGGGTTCACTGGCACTCACTGGTGGAGAGAACAATGGGAGAAAGAGATTCACTTAACAACAGAGCAGTCTCAGGTTCACCCCTCAAAACGAGAGCGACGTGAGAGTTGTACAAGTGCCTTGTGGAAAGAAAATAAAATGCAAGCCCATGGCGTGCTTAGGAACATTAGGAGCAACAGACTGATGGATGTTGTGTGACGACAGCATTGCAGGTGAGAGTGGCCTGGCAGGCCCCTCACTGGCTGTCTGGAGCCAGAATACTGGTTTTATACATACTTCCACAGCTGCAGTGTTGGACTCGCACAAGGATTTGAACGAATCAGCAGAAAATGGGCATCTCACCTGAGCATTGACAACTCAGTGCCCCTAGACAGAGCCAGGAAAGAAGAGATTAAAAAAAACCAAACAAACAAAAAACCAAACAAAAAGGAGGGTGATTGTGGCTTTTGGTTGAATTTTCTTTGGGTTCTGGAAGATTTCTTTTTTCACCTGATGAGGAACACTTCAACAAAAAAAAAATACAAATATTAGTTTTAATAGCACACTTGAATGGCACAGTCTCAAAATGGCACTGTCACACATTTGGCTGACAAAAACCATATGTTGTTTCATGCACATTTACTTCAGAATAGCCACATCAAAATTCAGCAAAGTTTCCAACTGCCTGGCATATGGCACATATTTAGTTCCAGTTGGTTGGCATATGGCACACAATGAGCTTTTTTATCAGTTGGCACACAGCAAACACTGTTGATAGTATACTTGGTTTCTTCTTCCCTGCTTTCTTAGTAAAAATAATTCATTCACTTTTAGGGTTTTTAGCAGTAACAGCAGACTTTCACATGCAAATATTCTCTGCATGCTGCAAAGAAAATGAAGAGCATCCACACATATTTGCATCAAGAAGCTCACAGTTCTCTGAAACCTGAAACGGCCATGCAAAGTGTGGCAAAAATGGACATGCATGTTAGCTCTGCATACTTCCCGAATTCCGTCTGTATATCCCTTCCTCTGTATTCCATCTTGTGGGTGGCTGAACTATAATGACCAAGTCACACATGTTTTGTCCCTCTGTTAACTATTTTTCATTACAATATTGCAAAAGAGTTTTCTGGACTTCTCATTGTCTTTGGATTGCACAAAATACAATGAGAATTTCTTCAAGTACAACATGAACATTTGAAGGGGAAAAAAATCACACTGAAATACTGGAATGCAATCCAAATATTTCAGTCCTCTATTGAACAGGTAAGTAGATTTATCCTAAGTAAATATAAGCCAAAATAATGAACATTCTTCTCCATTGAGAGCACCTAAATGTCTAATACTAGATATGCAAGCACCTCTGCCCATGCCTCGTTTCTCCAAATGTACCTTACCTATGGCTGTATCCTGGACACGGCCTAGGAGAGAGTCAAAATTACAGAGGGCTGTCAAGAAGCTGGCAGATGCTGCAAATCCCAGTGATGTGTTTCTCACCACAGCTGTCAGTGTGTAGGTATAGAATGAGAACACTTAAAAGTCAAGCCAAGATTTGAATATGACTGAGATGAAAGCTTAGGAATTCTTCAGGAGTTCCTGGAACTAATGTGGTACTTTAGCAAGAAAGATTCTCAGCTTGCCATGGTTCAGTGGTCCATATATACAAATGTCACCAATTCATCCATGAATTATCTTAATTTCAGATAAATGTTAGATATTTATCTCTAAAAAAACCCAAAACCAAACCAACTGTCATGCAATAACCAAAAAAGTCAACTCCAACATCTCAGATGGAGAAAGAAGCTAATTAAAACACGGCCAGGATTCCTAAAGCTTACTGCAACTTTGTCATCATGAAGCCTCATTGAAGATTCAATAGAAAAAAGTCAGAGGAGATGTAAGAAATGCTTGAGAAAATTTGAATGTTCAAAAGAATTCCAGATACTCTTCTAACAAGAAATATTCCACATATACCAGAAATACGCAGCAACTTAGCAAAATCTAATATATAACAAAGAGTAAAGAACACTATACTAACATTGTCTGCTCTTTTGAATTCCAGGAATAACAAAATCTAAGTACTGGAACAAAACAAGGATATATTGACACTCATTTTGACAGCCTCTCTCTCTCTCTCTAGGGATAATATCAAACAATCCACCTATATCCAAAATCACTTGAAAATAGTGAGCTAAGTCCAGCAGCACTTCCCTTAAGAAACAATAAAAAAATCAAATCTGCCAGGAAACACTATCAAGAGAACAAAGCCAGCAAGCTAGACATGTGTCTATCCCTTGCACTTCCATCATTGTAATCCAATGCATTGATATTAGTGGAACTTCTGAAGATGTTAAAAAAACCCAATTCTCAGTGAATGCTTGGTAGTGGCCTATTTGAAATGAGCTCAATCTTTCAGTCCCACACCTACTGGTTCCATTTTAATATCAGACAAAACACTATTCTAAGTGGCAACTTCACAGGTGGCAAGAGAAATAAATAACAAACCAGGGTCTGTCCCCTATCTTCAGACTTCTTGCCGGTGGAGACTGAAAAGACTCAGGAAAGCAAGCCTGGTCATATAAAAAAGCATCAACAGCAAAGAAGGTGTGCCTGAGATGTGAAGAAGCATGATACCTTTATAAGCTGATCCCTTCTGAAAAGCAAGCCTAAGGACTTATAATGTGGTAGAGGGATATGGACATTTCCTTTAATACTCAACTATAAATCAACTTTGAAGCAGACACAAGATGCTGTATCCTGCTGATAAGAACTCAACCCTACAGTCCCCTATAAGCCCTCAGAGAGAAGAAATATCCCTCTGGGCTCACATCTAATCCCCTGTCAGGCTAATTGATTAGCCAACCACATCCCCATCTACTTTCTCTGCCTTCTGCTTGGAGGCGTGAGATAGAGATGTTTGGTGTCTCTTGTGGATGCATACAGTAAGTCTGAAAATGTCTATGTCTGCCCAAGACCTCTTGGTCAGTTGTTCAGACATTGCCTAAAGTCTTGGCTGTTATCTCCCTTCAGCTACTCCAGCACAGGATTCCTCTTCCTTTGAATTCTGCAGGGACTCTTTATCCCTCCCCACTCCAATCTTTTCCTTCCATTCTTTGTGTTGGTAAGAACAGGTGCAGACTGAATTGGCTCTTTCTTCGTGCAGTCAGAAATGTTCATTTTTTATCCTCCAACCCCAGTTCCTCCTCAGACTTTCTGTATCATGGTTCCTTTGGCTCTGCAACTGGGGCTGCATTGGCCTCATTGCATGCTCATGCCCTGGTGCTTCCCCATTTGCTGAGATGGCCTTATCAGCCATGCTTTGGGCAGCATCTGAACCCTGCTCAACTACCACTATGTTCAGAAGGTGTCCTACTGTCCACCATGTGCACTTGGGTTGGCCTGCTTACTTTATTAAGAGCTAAAAAAACTGCTTTTTTCAAAGAAGGGTTCACCTGAAATTCCTTTGTAGATTGACTTCAGAGATATCTCAGTTATTGTTGGTCCTCCTTTACTGCATACTTGCACTTCACAAAATATTCTCCAATTAAATTACAAAAAAGTAAGTAGCTGCTCTGAAAAAAAAAAATATTAAGTTCCTTTTTGTAGTTACAGGACTGCCTTCATTTCCTCTGAATACCATAATACAAGTTTTACAAGAGTAAGTCCTACAAGACTTGATTACTTTAGTGGAACCAATTGTTTTATATGAGAAAACACTGCAGCTCAGTAAGTCCAGATTTTTATATTGGGTAATGGCACTGACACATTTCACAGTGTGAGACAAAGTTCCACAGACAGAATCCGTTTCCTTCTTAATAACAGTAGATACCGGATTGGCCAAAGGATATTTCAGCACAAAAGGAATAAAATAAATCTGACTTCAAAAATCCCTTATTGTTTAGCTAGTAGATGAACACTCTTTGCCTTTGACCTCAGGTTCTGAATTCTGCAGATGAATGTCACACATCTGTTAACACCATTCTTGCAGAGTCTTTAGAGCATCATATGCACAGAACGAAGGAACTGTTTTCCTTCTGCAGTTTCATTCCTGCTTGGGAAGATGGTAAACCTCATATTAAAAGCAACCCCATATTGAGGTGCAAGTAATCTGAGTTCTGTGCATGGCTCTGTTTCAGCTTTTCTTACAACTGACTTAAGCAAGTTAATGCTTCATTTTCTCTACGTATTAAGTGGGATTCATAACCCTTCCTAAAACCAGTAAAATTGAGATTTTAATTAAGTATGGAGCATAAGGAAGTAATAGTATAGAGACCATGGCACAGTGTCTACATTAAGCGTATCCCCTGCTGGCAGATATCCAATAATATGGGCACTTCCAGATGGTGTGTCCTGCCCACATGCTCATGACTACCTATGATCTTTCCAATGCTCTTGGTAGATCTGAAAAAACAGTCATTCCCCATGCCCAGACCCCACTGAAGTATGCAGATTTCAGGCCCCTGTTTAGGTTCTATCCTGGCTATCTGCCTGAAGCTGCCCTTGGCTGGAAGGCTACCCTGCCCCATCCATATAGTCTCTCCTTGTGGTCCATTTGCCAGGCTTCCAGGTGCTGCCCTCCAATGCCTACTATATTGCTAAGAGTTTTAGTAGAGATGTCCTGTCTACCCACATGTTGATAGCTTTGCCATATTCTGGCTGTCTGAAGCTGCCCTGTACACCTGCTCTAAATGTATTCTCCAAATGGTTCGTGCTGCTCCATTTCATGCTGCAATTTTTTTAATGCTTCCAGGAGAAATATGTTAAAATAATCATCAAAAGAGATATTTGCTCCCTACCCAGCTCTGAAATCCTAATGGTGGAAAAATCCAGCTTATTTGGTCTAAAAGCAATACAGCACTAAACAAAATGGGATATTGGATATTTCTGACTATCAGTATTGGAGGAAAAAATCTGTGGTTTCTAAGTTCAAATGATTCCACTGAGACTCTTAAGGTTCCAAACAAGAAAACTGGGGAATATAATTGGGAAAATATATAAAACTAAATAAAATAAACTTCACCTACTTAGTATGGTGAGGACAAACATATGCAGCATTCAGTATTTGTAACATTTTTCTTAAATTGCCTTGCTTTATAGCATGCTACCAGCCATAACACTCCATAAAACCAAGCAGTGCAAGTTACAAATGCATTAATCACCAATAGCATGTAGCAGGAAATCAAATAAAATAAAAATGAGTGATGGTGATAATTTGCCCTCAACATGCATTCTAGCTCCCCATGTTAATGCAACATCACGTGGTGCAAATATAAATCTGTATGGCATGTGTTGTTTTGAGGACTGAAGGAGAGGTACATGATGCAAGTGGCAGAATGACATACAAACATAGACAAAAAGCATTGCTCTGTACACCAATAAATTATGTGACAGTAAACCAACCATGCAAACACTAGTTATACTTTCCTTTTTACTAATTGTCTGTGGTCTCTTTTAAGTCCTTTATGACTTGTGCAACAATTTTAAGAGTTTTTTCTTGGTATTAAAAATAATTAACACACTCCCCTGCCTTCAATTCAAGAACTTTTCAGTTGGTCACATTCAGCCTGTGCTCTACTGGAAGGTTATTATAATCTTGGCATTCATCTGTTGCATTTCTTTCAGAGAATCCAAATACACAAAATCTGTTGGCAGGAATGCTGTTTGTCTAGTATTCAGTAACTCCTCATATATAAGGAATATGACACTAATATTAAGACCTTCTTTATTCTCTATTTTCTAATTATTCAATTTGAAAAGCAACAGAAAATGATAGTATGAATCATAGCAACAATTGGCAATGTATCCTATTATTGAACAGATTACATGATATCCAAATCAATGCAAAAAAAAATAGGCAATTTAGGAAGACAGGATGGAACAATGTAGGACCCTTTACTCTGGCACCCAGTGTAGGACCCTTTACTCTGGCACCTTACAGATTGCATTCTTGCACTCATGCATCAAAAATCACCAACCCAAGAGAAACTGATAAACCCAGGATAGTGTCCCCTACCCTCCTTTTCACTTACCTTCTGAGGGCTGAGGAGTTCCACTTGGGATGGAAGGGGTCTTCAGCTCTTCCTGGGACTCTATGGATGCTGGGCTGATGCACTTGGGTACAGGTGAGGATGGAGCTGAAGGGGATCTCAGGTTCAAGGACAGCTCACTTCTGCCTCGGCTGACACTCCGACTCTTCAGCTCCTTCTCATACTCCTCTGCTGCCAACTTCTCCAAGTATTTGTATCTGAAAGTTAAATTCCAGAGGGTTTCCGTAAAGAAAAAGAAGCCTGTGGCTGATGCTTGTTTATGGATGAAACACCTGCAGAAAATGAGCTGACGTCCTGACACAAGGAGTACAGCACTGAACTGCCTGCTTGCTCAATCTGCCAAAAAGTGCACACTAAAGCAAAGACTGCTGCCCTGAAAAATGTTAAATTACTCATTACAATATAAAAGTAAAAACTAGCAGAGTTAAAGAACCTTTAGCTACAGTATTTTGTCTGCACAGTTCTCCTTTTTGGAAGCATTTGTCTGTCCTCCTTTTTACCCTCCTCTTTCACCTCCTCCTCCTCTTCCTCCTCCTCCTCCTCCTCTCAGCCCTCCTTCTGCCAAAACTAAAATGGGAGAGAAAAAAAAAACAACCAAAAGAAGTAAAAAAATCTCTCCAAACCCAGAGCCCCTTAATACTGGTGCAAATTGCCAAAATCTGAGACTTGCTATAAGGAGAGGAAAATGCAGCAGACAAAACCAGATCTTCCTGAAAATAACACCAATAATAAACATCTGAATTGACTATCTAAAGATTCTGAACCTGCTTCTATTTGCTCTGAGAGCAATGCACTGGAATTCACTTTGTTCTCTCCAGAGCCTACAATGGAAAGTTTTTTTTTTTATTCTGAAAAATTTCTCTGCCGGACTCAGACATCCAATAGCTTGTACCTGACGTCACATGTAGTTTATTCATCAAAGTCACTTTAAAAGAACAAAGATACATCTGTTTTGCATTTTAGGCAGGCAGAACTCACTAACTGTTTATTAAGACCAGCTACCAATCATATTCTTCATAGTATGCTTTATACATTTCGACCAAAATAACTTTTAAATATGTGCCTGTTCCAGATGTCTGCTAATTTTATCCACCATTATTTGCTAAGGAATAAATTCATGAATACAGCTGGATCAGGCTTTAGACTGTTTGCCTTATCCACAAGTGAGTTGTTAAACAGGTTAATCAGGACTACTTCTTATGTCTCTGGTCATTCCCTATAACACAGTATTGTAAACACTCCATAACATTGAACACCTCTCCTCCCCCCTTCTGCATCACTGACAGCCCAAATTAGTATAAAAGGGTGCACTAAAAGCAGGCAGGGTAAAGAAGTCAGCCACATGTGGCAACAAACATGCTAAGTACATATGGTAGCCACACATGCATGCACATTTGCAAACATTAATATAGAGGACAGAAATGTGTCTTTGAAGAGCAGTCCTTGTGTTTTCAGAGGCAATTTGCCTTACTGCAAACAGCAATAATGAAGAACAAACTCATTTTCCTTTATTCCTCCAGAGGTATGCATAGGCTTTGAACAAATTCTGCAAGAAAAAGAACCCCTACAGACTCTGGATGAAAATATAACAAGCTACATACTTGCATGGTTATAAAATAGGAACTGTTTACAGTTCTAACATGAAGCCAATTCTCGAGACTGAGTCTTGCCTTTTCAATAGAAGGGAAAGCATTTCTCTGGCATCAGCATGATGTTTTGTTACAGTTCACGAAGCCACTCTTTCTTTGAATGTTGGTCACTTATATACAGTGCCTTCCACCTCCTCACAAGCAGAGCAGATGGGACTCCAGACTCATAAAGAGCCACTCAAATGGATCACTTGGCACTAACAGGTACAGCCCAGCTGGCTGCTGCCAAGGGGGTTTTGCAGTTTGCCAACAGACTACAACAAAAATCTGGATGGATCCTTATATGATGTGGGGAGCTACAATATTTTATTGTCCTCAGCTCTTTTTCAGGTGCTTTAACATTTTCTGTAGCTGTGTGCTGCACTGCCAACCAGCAAAGCAGAAACTATCATCAAGAGGTGACTTTTCAAAATGTATCTGATTATTATACTGAAACAAAAATGGGAAACAGAACAGCAACTCCAATGGCAGCACATCAGCAGAACTCATTATCAAATGGGAAGCTCAATAAATAGGTATCATTGAGAAATAAAAAAATATTCAAGAATCAGTTACCAATGCTTCACACTTGATAAATGACATTATTCAGGTTATTTTTTGTTTCTGACAAATATCTTCATATTGAATAAATGCCAGCAGCAGATGTGCAAGGTCACATAGACCAAAATCTGAAGGGGTTGAAAGGATGAGCTGCCATACCTCCACTACAGATTGACAAATTGCCCCTGCATATGCTGCCATATTCTTTTAAATCATGGCAACCTGCAGACATCATCTCAGCTATGATGACCCTTCTCTATAGACAACAAGCCAAAACTCTGTGGCTATCCATTTGGTATTCCTCATGAACATAACACTGGATTTATCATTTTCAAGTAGATGAAATTACCATTTTGAGTTCTCTAGGCATCTGAGTAATGCCCCAAGGGCAACTTCAAATGTTAAGGCACCAACAAAGTCATGGGGGTGGAGAGCATTTGAACTGTACTTCAAACCGGAGAGGGCTTGGGAGCTCCCCTCTCTTGGTTTTATTCTTTAATTACCATTGCAAAACACCCAGCCAAGCAAAGGGAAAAGGCCGCAAATCATTGAACAGCAAGAACTGATATGGAGGAAACATACAAATCAATTTTTAACTAGGATTTTAGGCACCTTGACGACAGGATTTTCTTACAGTCTATGCACTCTCCTAAAACAAGTTATCATGCAATTTCCTACAGGAAATAAAACTTCATTTGTGCAAAAGTGTCCATAAAAAAGTAGTTACAGAATGTCAGTGTAATGGACTACTGGTGCAAGAATTCATTTGCAGAAGTTTTTCCAATATTTATCTGCTGTGAAAGCAAACATATCTTTCCTCTTCATGAGTAGGAACTGATAGTTTTATATCTCAGTTCAAAAGAGCCCTAAGGATAACAAAATATTACTAATGAAGGGTGGAATAGTCTCAGATTGTGCAACAGTGATGGTGAACACTTCCCCAAGAATATTCCAGTTGACATTCTCCCTTATAACTTGAAAGTTCTAAAGAACTCCCTTCTAATTTGTTTCAAAACTTGCAGATGAGCATGCTCACTGAAGAACAGTTTTACTCTGCTCAATGATGATGCTTATGTGCTCAGATGCATATAATTTCAGAAAATGCTTTAAACTGTTTGCAATTGTTTTGGGACTGGAAGCACAATGGAAAGCCCATCCACATTTTCTTACTCTTAGAGATGCAAAAATATTTTTTTAATATTAGCTACTTCCGCCTCAACAGATAAAACTTCAGTCTGCAGAAACAAACTGTCCCCTGTGTGATGATTTTTGTGAAAAAAAAAAAAAAGGCCAAAACACAAAAGCAAACAGAAAAAAACCCAAGTAAAAATGTAGCAACACAATGATTTCTGAGATGCCTGCTCTCTTATTTTGATAATGTAACTCCAATTCTTGACAATCCAAAGGTATCTCCAGAGAGTAATCTCTAGAGGATCATAAAAGCAGAACTGAAGCACTCTGGATGATTTTTCATCTATTTGTACAGTAACTTGCATATTTTCCAGGTAAAAACAAGCACTCCCTCCAGGATGCAATTACTAGCAGGGGTAGAGATGAAGCTACTGAAAGACAAAAGTCCTTAGTTGAGCATTCCTTGAAAAATATGCTTTTATAAGCACATACCTCCCAGCCTAGCCCAGAGTTTCTAAATTTGTTCATTGAATTAAAAAAAAAAAAAAGGAAAAATAAAACCCAAACCCTCCGTCATTTCAAATATGCTATTTAAATAAAACTAAAACAATGCCCCAATGATAAACACTGCTAAGCTTTGTAATTTACTTGCTGATGTTTAAAGAGATCAGCAAAGAAAACTTGGCTCTGAAAGATAAAAATATGCCGAGAGTGGGTCAGAACCATTTCCATCAGCCTGTTACTGCAGTTTTGCAATGTTTGTGACCCCAATTTCCTTTATCCTCAATTGCCTTTTCTGACCCTCCAGAAAGCTTGGGACCCACTGGGTGAAAAAGACAGGCTTATCCAATTTATAACTCTACTAAATTTGGGCAAATTTCTGAGGCAAATGGGGTAAGCTTATTTCCCACACAAACAGATAAAGGATCATCAATCATTCTTAAGCATTCTCATTGCTCTTCATTTATTGCTGTGCTTACAGCTGGACTTCATTCTGCTCTTTAACAACTTCTTTCTTATAGAAGTCTTTTGGAATAAAAGTGTTTTGTGCAAGCAGAGTTAAAAATGTAAACATATGACAGCTCCACAGCAAAGAAGATAGGAAGTACAAACAACCAGAGGGAAGGATAGGGAAAGATGGATGCATGACATACAAACCTCTCTTCTCTTGCTTGTCTTAGTTCTTCTCTTTTGTCTAAATAATCCCGGCTAGAAAGAGAATTACAGTAAATTGCAGCAGAAACCAGAAGAAAAAGGGAAGTAATAGAAATATAAGTACAGTAGGAGAAACCAAGAGTGGTACACACAAACTGATTGGAGACAATGAAGGCTGTTGTTAAAAAACCTTTTTTTTGCAAAAATTACTGAAAACTGTACACTTATCCATATATACACCACCAAATATGTAGTTTGGAAGGTCATTCAAAGTAATTGTAAAAAACCTGCAAAAAGTGAAAAACTTGAAGCATGCTTTGAAATCTGGTATCTGAAATGAGATTCAATGAACTGCCCTTATCCATAGGGAGCAGGCACATGAGTGCCTATTAAACCATCCCTCATTGACTCCTTCTTAGAATGCCCCAAGACAGTGACTGAGGCAGTGAGCAAACCTATTTGCCTTCTTTCTAAGGAACCTTTCCTTAGTGAATTTTAGTTGTCACAGCCAGAAACAGGACAGGGGAATGGCTTTACTAAGAAGGACAATTCTGCATTCCAAGAGGGTGTGTGCAGCATCATTGGACAGATAACAACCTTTCACTTCCTCATTTTTCACATGGAGTTTTAGATACAAAACTCCTTTTATGTCAGCTGCCACTCCCACAGCTCCTCAAGTAAGCCATATATTTAACTTTTGCCAAGTCAAGTTTGCTGGATGCTTGAGTGCTATGATTTCAGACAGGCCTGCCACATCCACAAACATGGATGCAAATTTAACTTGGAGCACAGCAGAAGCGAGCAAATGTCCACCCTGTCTCACTATCACAGCAAGATGGTTTCTTACAATATATTTTTAATACTTGGTTGAATCTGGTAGACAAAACTTGTGTGACCTTCACCTTATTTGCTAGATTCTTTCACAGTGTAAGTGGTGAGTATTGGAAATATTTTCAGAACTACTCCTTTTATTAATAACTCCTTTTTTTCCCCTTTATATTGTGTCATTAAATGAATTACTTATCCATTATACCAATAGCTATCAAACATCTGGGTGCAAGTGCTCTTCAAAAGTCCTTTAACAGGGAACACACATTACTGTTTCAGGCCATCTCCACAGGCTTTGAATTCTGAACCGATTATACTTTCACAATATTTAAAAAGTATTCCAGGAAATCTTCAGCAGGCAAACTTTAACAATACTCTTTACCTTCTGACAATTTTCACTCTTCCCTACAGCTGAAAAATAACCACTTTATTTTAGGACATATTGTTCTACATTTGCAATGGATACAGTTGTTCTTCTACTGAGAAAAATGTTCATTCTGCAAAGCATTCCTTTAGTGAGCAATAGCTTATGAAGCTTTGTAGCTCTTCTCCTAATCCTCCAGCTCTCCTATCCTCCAGCTCTTTCACAACTAGTGATGCTTTCCTTTAAATTATCCTCAATTTGTCAATAATGGTGCCAGAACCTAGTGCAATGTTCTTGAGGCAGAGTTGGAAAGAATGAGATAACAAATTAGTCATGATGGTAAATCCAGTAAGGCTCACGAGTTTAAAGACTGAATTGCAAGTGCTATTTTTAATCAAAAATACATCTTCAGAGACTGGGTTTCTAGCCAGACTGATGATATGATAATGAAATCCCAGGAACTCTTATGAAACTGTCCATGACTGCTCGCTGTGACTTTGTCTTCCTCCTGCCAGACTGTTTAATCAACTGTGAGATGCTGTCTGTTTGTGAAGTCTGGTGGCTTTGGAGACCCTCTGCTCAAACAAAAGTTATAACTTTTGGGTGATCACAAAACTCAAATCCAAAAGATGAAAACACTGAGCATTGAAAAATAATTTTAAATATGTGCATAGCTATGAGATTTAGTTAATCAGTTTCATCCCTTCTGAAATGAAGGGATGAAAATGTATACTTTGATTTTTTTTTCTGATTTCAAGAAACCTCTTTCAGTGATAGAACAACCAGCATAGCTGACCTCTAATGAAATGTGCAGATCTGTCATTCCAACAGGTCGATCTGCCAAATGCCCTGTTGGCTTTTTTGGTCTGGGAGTTTCCTTTCTGAAAGATCATGTTGGCAGTCCATGGCAGCCTGCTGCAGCCTGATGATACCACTTAGAGGGAGAGTTTTTGGAAGAGGCTGGAAGACTGCAACCTTATTGTTTCTGTTTCAGGAGGACTTGGGCAGCTGCTGGCTGCCAAAGATCCTATTATGGTGCTCTTCCACCTTCCCTCTGCCTCTCATTTCCTTCTAAACTAGCTATCTTCTGGAGTCAGGAGAATATCAATCAACCACTCCTAAGCTATTCCTCTTTCCAAATTCACAGAATCACAGCCTGTTTCCACTTTTTACTAAAGGGATGATTACAGTGAAAACAATCCTGCATACTAATAAACAAGCTAACATGAAACCCTGTGCCATCTTTTCTGTAACTACCAATTCTAAGGCTACAAAACATTTATATTACTCTTCTGTAAGTTATTACATTATGTCTTCTAAATACCAAAAATAGGTTTGCTTTTCACTCTTGTCTATGAGGAAACAAATTGATTTCCTAGTGTACACTCTTCACACAATTTCAGGTACAGATTCCATATCAATCCTTGGCCCACTGCAGTCTTTGTTAATGTCTCTGCTGGGATTTCTAGGCATGGACTGAAGAGGTTGAGGGGGCTTGTCTTTTACTAGCCCCAGGCAGCACATCCTGGGATCCCACATCACACAGCATTTTCTCAGAAGTGAAAATGTGAAGTCCCACATTCAGCCATGCCATTTGTTTGGCCAAGGTTTGAACAGTCATTACCTTCTGTCAGTTGTTGATTCTAGGAGGAAAAGATGTGTTCAAAAATGCAGGAAAAAGTAGTTAAAAACCACTACCATACAGTAAGACATTTCTACTTTGCATAACTTAAAAGCAAAAAGATCTTTCAGTGCTGTCCCTTCCTCACTTTTTGATACATTTGTCCCACTGTTTCACCTTCAAATCCTATGCCTCACTGAGATTGTAATTTGGTGAGAATATTAACTAATAAAATTGAGCCTCTGTACATACTCAGGCAGTGTAATTGGCTACCTTTAACAAAAATAGCTTTTTATTAAATGCCAAAATTTGTGATGTGTTTAATCTATCAGTTTTTAAGATACTTAGGTCAAGACAAGTATCTAAAGAGACAAACTATTCATCAATTAAATTATTTTGCAGTTGAATGTCTTAATGATTGATCAATCTATCACACATTAAAGCAAGAGACTGAGAGCAAATTTGGGTCCTACTTGAATTTGTTTCTTTCTTCACGTTCTATCCTTTGCAACCTTTCTTCTCTCTCCTGACGCCGTCGTTCTCTTTCTGCTGCCAAAGACTCCTGGTGCTGCCGAAAAGATGATGTAAGGAGACCACCCAAAGCTGGCCTGCAGAAAAGGAAGATCAGATTTCTCAGTGTCACTTTTATTGATTATACTGGCAAAAAATGAGTGGCAGTCATGGAGCAAGTAACATAATCCCAACCAGCAGAATGACATGGCAATATTATGTAGAGATCTTTCAAAGCATTGGCTAAGTGTCTTCTTGCTGAATTGATTATAGATTCTGAAATGAGAAACAATTAGGGTAGGCTTCCTAAATAGCCAAATTTCTAAAGCACAAATAAAGTATGTGTAAAAATTCTTCAGTCTGTTTCCATTGCAATATTGTCTATTCTTTTTTAACTTTATAAACCTGTTAATAGAAAAGCTGAATCCTGTAACGGATTTTTGAAATTTTAAAGGAAAAAACTGTTATGCAATGATGTTAAAAACAGATGTGTCACAAACACCTGAGAATCTTCTATACAGAAAAACAAAAGTAAGAGAAGATGTCAGAAGAGCCCTAGAGAATCCAAATGCTCTTGTAAGTATCAGGCATATTTTTCCTTAATAAATTAATAAATTTGATTATAATGATTTCCCTGCTGCATGTGCTGTAAGTGCAAGATGAATCTCATATTAGAATACATCAGTAAAACACAAAGGGAGAGTCTTCTCAAACTATTTTTAAAAACTAACAGAAATTATGGCCTCTACAGTAGAAACTTTTCAAAGATATAAAGATACTTTTACATTCACTTATAGTTTGGTGCTGATATAGATTTTTTTATTGGCTTTACTCTAAGTAGTACTTTGTCTGGGAGAGTGGGTCCTCTTACACAACCCTCCCCCAGCATGGTGGTATTGGTACCACCAACCTCTGACATGGCAACTGAGTGACCTCAGAGTTAAACATGTCTTTCTTTCTGTCTCTTAGACAGGAAAAAATCTGAATTGCACAGGGTAGCTTTATACAGATGCACACTGATTGAATTAGACTGATAAAATCAAAAAGACATAACTCATGTAGAGAGGTTTCTGTGCATTGTTGTAACATGAGTTTTGCAATGAAAGGATTAACGAGAGAAATAGATACTGCCTTTTGTGTAAAAAGAAACTAAACCCTGTCTGCCTAGAGAAAGGTTCCTTAACCAGTAATGAGAACCTGAATAAATTTTCCTTATTTTTAAGAACTCAGACCCTCTCCCCTATTTATTTACTTGCCTATGGCTGCATAGTATAGGCATTTAGCATAATGGCACCAATTCACTAGTGAACAGAGGTGCAAAAGAAGATAAAAATATTAATGCAAACCTATCTTCCCCAAGAGTCTATGTCTGTATAAGCAGGAACACCACAAAACATAGCCATTTCAGCCCCACTGGCAGCAGGGCAGCATGAATATAATGTCAATAATTTCAATAAATTGAATTTCAATATGTCATATCCCACCCGCATAAACATTACATAAGATGGTATAAAACTTGATATTCTGTAAGAGTCCCTGCTGGCACTCCTCCAAAGCTACAGTATCAATGCTGGATCACACTCAAAACCATAAAAATCTCTAATATGCTTCAGCACTAAGAAAAGGGGGAAAAAAATCCTCAAATCCTGACAGTCAAGTACGTGTGGTGAATTTTCCCTTGAGCATATTTTAAATTGATTTTAACTTTTGACCTCTTAGTGCATGTTTCAAGAGAAAGCTCTTAGCAAAAACAGTAGCACCACTGTACTAAAATTCAAAAGCTAGAGCTACATCCCTGTAGTAGCGCAAAAAGCCATGGCTACATGGTTGGATTTAACATCAGAAATTACTTTTGGAAGGGGAAAAATGAATTCTGCCTCCATGTGAAGATATATGGAAATTAACTAGGAGAGATGGCAAAAGAGGGTCCCTATCAAGTCTTTGTTTTTATCTGTTTTGTGTATTCAGCTTGATATCCCATCCGGCCCAGCTGCCATGAAGTCTGCAAACTCCATTTACAGTCAAAGGCAGATATGGCTTAAAAGAAGACGGAAGGAAAAATAAGGGGAAGGATGGGGTGATGATGAGAGACCAAAAGAATGATTGCAAGTCTGCACATCATCTAGCAGGTTGGAAGCCTTCAGCTCTGACTGAGCTCTTTGAGGCCCTACAATAAATGCACATTCTTATGCAGGGGATTACAGGGAAATCACATGGAGATGCACAGCTTAGTCCTGCAGATGGGATTCTAAGCTAACCCCGGTAGTAAAATATCTCCACACCTTGTTTGGAGGTTTGATCTAGCATAGTTTGGCTAGCATTGCTCACTGGGATAAAATGTGCAGATGTATGAAGACCAGCATCACAATCTGAATAGAAGATCCACAGCTGTATGTCCAGAAAAAAACCCAGTGTGTAAAGAACTGAAAATGTTAGCTGGCCATCTCTTCAAAACTAATCAAATCAACAAAAATTTGTCAAAACTTGTAATTCCTGTATTTCCCACTGATTATGAGTGTGTACTTCAGCTGAATTACAAGCTGTGAACACACATAAAATTCCTTTGTCCCAAACACAGCCCTATCATAAATGGATAAGCAAGAAAATGGCTAAAAAAACTTCTGGCATTGAATCAAAGGCAATAAGAGTTTTTTGCATGAAATGGTCACATCTAACAGTCCAAGCTGCCAAAAGGTACTGTACATAGAGGCCATAATTAAACAGACAGGAGCACGGTCAACTGACCCCTTGTGTGACACTGACTTCTTGAAGCACAAATAGTCAAGGTTTTGGGTCTTCAGTCTCATTTAGAAAAGGGCTGGCAAAGAAACAGCACTGCCATAGCTGAGTTAGTGCTCTCTTAGTGGTTACACCCACTTAACCACACACATCTGCCCTCGGTGGGGACCACACCTCACACCAAATGCTGAGACCAGCTGCCTTATGAAGCCTCTTCAACTCACAGCCTCACTGCAGATATCAAACGCTGTGGCTCAACTGGTCTTTGGGTGCACCAATATTCTTTTTAATGTGAACTGCAACTGTAAATGCACAGTTTTAGTATTTAGTAAACTCTATTGGTAATTTTCTACATTAGCATAAACTAAACCTGGGCTAAGCAGGTTACTTTCAGGGTATACAAACCTGTAAAGCAGTCAGAGGAAAAACAAGAATTAAGAGGTATTCCTCTCACATTCTGAACAATTTGAAAAGGGATTTGTCTATTACAGTTCGTTGACAAAATCTGATTTTTATTTCTGTATTTCCCTGGCAATAACACTTAAAGTAAATGTTCCCTTTCAGTGAGCACATACTTAAATTGCAAATGGCAGCATCATTGGCCAAACCAGTTGGTGGGAAGGCTTGGGCTTAGCCATTGGGTAATTTTGTTGCTTTGATGGTGTTTGAAGGGTGACAGTGCCTTCAGGCCTCATGAATTTTTAGGTCTTATTGCTGCAGGCTGCATTTTAAAAATGGATAAGCAAGAAAAAGGCTAAAAAAACTTCTGGCATTGAATCAAAGGTGATAAGAGATTTTAACAGTAAAGAGAAACGTGAATGCTCAATGAAAGCATAATAGAGTGATCACTCGCAAAATGGGGTTACAGCTAATATATGCCAGCATTTTAGTGCTGGTGTCATATGTTACCAGCTGGTAATATCAACCATTTGTTCAGCTCTGCAAATACAATCCAGAAGGATGCTTACTCCGACTACTATTTTTAGTCTTGTAGAGAATGCAAGGCTATTAAGAATGGACTGTTAATATAAAAAAATGTTAAGTAAAGCTTTCTTATGCCTGCTGTTAAGACCAGTAAAAGCTAAACAAGCTATGTTATTATTTTCTCATTCCAGAAAGAAAATACACAACCAGAAAGCATCTAGGTCTGTGGATTTGTGAATAGAGCTCCTCACCACAGAATCAGGACACAGGGCCAAAGAGGTCACTTATCTTACTGGAAGAAGAGATAGGAAAAGGAACGAATGGGGGGTGAAGGGGGAGAAGGGAAGAAAAAAAGGCAAAACATAGACAGAACATAGGATATGAAGCCAAAAGGTTGACTGTAGGCCAAAGCTCTTCTGAATAAAAATTCAGCTAGTCTGACCTACAGCATTTAACACAGCAGTGAATTAGTAATCATTATTATAAACACCAATTCATGCAGACACAAGATCTCTCACACTTTTTTGCAAGTTCTTGCAGTTTCCTGAAAATACTCCATCACAGACTATACATTGTGAAGGGGATTATGTGCCCTGAATTACCCTAATGTTGTTGCAAACTGAAGAAAGTATTTCGGTCTTACTGAAAGCTTCAAACGTTCTTCATTCATGTAAGCTCTGAGATACTATTTTGTGGCTGCCTTTCCCTCTGTTTGGTTGAATTTTTAAAATTTTCTAAATAGAAATGGTTATCTACAGGAAGAATACAAAATAGAAATGTATATTTTTATGAGCTAAAAAAAAATAGATGACTTATGAGAGGAAATCCCTTTAGGTCATAAGGTTAATATTCAGAATTGTTTTTAAAACAACATGAGGCAGAGTCATTAATAATTTTAATAAGGAAGCACTAATTACCTAATTTTGCAAAGTGCTCCTGTTCCAGCAGCCATGGGAATGCTACAGAGAGGGCACAAAAGTAGGCAGCTCCCACTCGGCCCTAAGTAACTCTAAAGTCTCTTGGCTTCAACAAAATAAATCCATTTTCCAGCTTAGGAAGAGACAAAGTGGGAGGCAAAGCTGCCAAGAGCCATATTGCTTTTCACAGTTACAGAAACTCCCTATGTGTTATGTCTCCCTACATGACATGGCAAATTCAAAAACATGTTGATACAAGACTTTGCAAACAGACTAAACATTACTTAAGGAATCTTTATGAAACTTCTCTCAAAAATAAACATAAAATTTAGAGCTAAAACTACTAATGCTTACTTTAGGAAAGAAATTTGAGAATGACCAAGGGAAGAACTGATTAATGTTAGACTTTTAAGTGGTACAGGGACTACCCAAATGAGAACTACAGCAGGACAGAGCAGCACACAAAGCCTGGGCAATGCACAAGGACTTTCTAAATATACTCTCCTCTTCCAGCTGAC